AATGTCTTTATGACAGTCATTGGAGATAATGATGAACAAAACATTTAAAAAGAAATCTCTTCATGTGCAAGCTTCTATTGGAAAAGTTCCCAAAAGAATTGCCGAGTCAGGATTTAAAATTTTTTTTTTTTGACAGGCAGAGTGGACAGAGAGAGAGAGACACAGAGAGAAAGGTCTTCCTTTGCTGTTGGTTCACCCTCCAATGGCCGCCACGGCTGGTGCGCTGCAGCCGGCGCACCGCACTGATCTGAAAGCAGGAGCCAGGTGCTTCTCCTGGTCTCCCATGGGGTGCAGGGCCCAAGGACTTGGGCCATCCTCCACTGCACTCCCGGGCCACAGCAGAGAGCTGGCCTGGAAGAGGGGCAACCGGGACTAGAACCTGGTGTGCCAGTGACGCAAGGCAGAGGATTAGCCTAGTGAGCCGTGGCGCCAGCCAAAATTTTCGTATTTTGACATGCTTTCTGTAAAACTTGTAATACTTTAACTTTCCAAAAGTTGTGTAAGCCTGTTTGCCTGTATTCTCCTGAGTATTGAGTGTTACTGAACAGTTGTCAAGCCAGTGGGTGAAGATTATGAGATTACTATTTTAAAGCTTTTTGAATGACAGGCAGGCAGGTTTTTTTCCCCCTGAGAGGCAGTGAGATGAGACTTGGGGAGACAAAGATGATGAGTTCCCACTTGCTGGTTCAAAAAAGGGAGAGAATAGAGCACAAGCCGCCACAATCCAGGTCTCCCATGCTGGTGGCACAACCCAGTTACTTAGTGATCACCACCGCCTCCCAGGGTGTGCATTAGCAGGGAACTAGTCAGGAGCTTCTCAGAGAAGCCTAATGAGTTGTGTGTGACCTGAGGTGTAGACCAGTCCACCGGGTATGCAGCACTCAGGTGAACATGATGATGACTTGGGGCAGGAAAGGCTACGTCAGAGGTCAGCTGGAAAAATCAGGTGGCTATCTGGGAAGAGCTGATGAAAATCACAAGTTGGAAGGATCATTTCCATGAACAAGATTACTCCTCTGAAGACATTACATTTTGGGCCGGCGCCATGGCTCACTAGGCTAATCCTCCGCCTAGCGGCGCCGGCACACTGGGTTCTAGTCCCGGTCGGGGCGCCAGATTCTGTCCCGGTTGCCCCTCTTCCAGGCCAGCTCTCTGCTGTGGCCAGGGAGTGCAGTGGAGGATGGCCCAGGTGCTTGGGCCCTGCACCCCATGGGAGACCAGGAAAAGCACCTGGCTCCTGGCTCCTGCCATCGGATCAGCGCGGTGCGCCGGCCACAGCGGCCATTGGAGGGTGAACCAACAGCAAAGGAAGACCTTTCTCTCTGTCTCTCTCTCTCTCTCACTGTCCACTCTGCCTGTCAAAAAAAAAAAAAAAAAAAAAAAAAAAAAAAAAAAAGAAGAAGACATTACATTTTTACCAGTGTGAGCGAAATGAAGAGTAAGGAGGTAAGAATTTCAGTAGATGATCTTACACGAAAGATTCCTGAAACTCTGGTTAATGGCTGCCTCTAATCTTAATTCTCTTCACACATTCAGACCATTTGTTTTCCATCAGGGTCAAGTGGCAAAGAGGATCCTTCCTGTACTCACTGTGTAGAAAGTGTTTAGTAAATCCTTGTTGAATACTCATTTCTCTGGTAGTTGAGTAAAGGGTGAAATGGGCTTGTGAACACGTGAACTGATGCTGGCTGTTCTGTGTTGCTGAGCAGGATGTGATGGTGGCAGGTGGAATGGAAAGCATGTCCAACGTCCCCTATGTAATGAACAGAGGAGCAACACCATATGGTGGGGTGAAGCTTGAGGATTTGATAGTAAAAGATGGGCTAACTGATGTCTACAATAAAATTCACATGGTAAGTGTTGCCTGCAATGGAGTACCATCTCATAAACAATATTACTTTTTTCTTAATGTATTTTAGCATTTGAAGGCTCTACAAATGTTGGTTTTAGTCTTTTTTTCAGGAGATATTTTTTCATGCTCATGGCATCAGCATGGCTTAGCTGTTAGAAAAACTGCCCAATGCTTGAACAGTGCATTTTTTTTACTCTTTTTTTTTTTTACAGGCAGAGTTAGAAAGAGAGAAAGGTCTTCCTTCCATTGGTTCATCCCCTAAATGGCTGCTATGGCCAGCGCACTGCGCTGATCTGAAGCCAGGAGCCAGGTGCTTCCTCCTGGTCTCCCATATGGGTTGGGTGGCAGGGCCCAAGGACTTGGGCCATCCTCCACTGCTTTCCCAGGCCACAGCAGAGAGCTGGACTGGAAGAGGAGCAACCGGGACTAGAACCCGGTGCCCATATGGGATGCCGGCGCTGCAGGTGGAGGATTAGCCTAGTGAGCTGTGGTGCTGGCCCATTTTTTTTTTACTTCTAAAATAGCATTTCTTCAAATACTTGAATTGGCCCAGAGTTGCTAACGACTATTTTGTAAGTTATGCAAACTGATATTTTGTCTAATCAAATGTAATTTTATAAAATTCCAACTTTTATCAGGGCAATTGTGCTGAGAATACCGCAAAGAAGCTGAATATTGCCCGCGATGCACAGGATACTTATGCTATCAATTCTTACACCAGAAGTAGGGCAGCATGGGAAGCTGGGAAGTTTGCAAATGAAGTTATTCCTGTCACAATTACTGTAAAAGGTACTGTGTTCCAGAATATGTGTGTCTTTCAAGCAATAACAAAAATCAAAATATATCTATCCACTGGTTGACTCCTCAAATACTTGCAATGACTGGGCTGGCCCAGGTCGAAGTGGCAGCTGGGAACTCAATCCATGTCTACCAGCCACGTGGGTAACAGCGACCAGCTATCTGAACCGTCCCCTGTCTCCCAAGGTTCACATTAGCAGTAAACTGGAATCAGAAGCCAAACCAGGACTCAAATCCTGGCACTCTGACATGGACTGCTGTGATCCCAAGTGGTATATCTTAACTATCACCTAGAATTTTTTTTACCAAGTTTTAAATGTTGAAGTTTTTAAAGATTTAAATTAGCACATAATCTTTGCTCATTTCAGTTGACACTTGTTAATAAAGGGAAGAGTGCCAATGCAGAGATTATATATTTAAGATTCATTTATTTATTTGAAAGAGTTACACAGAGAGAGGAGAGGCAGAGAGAGAGGTCTTCCATCCGCTGGTTCACTCCTGCAATGGCCAGAGCTGCGCCGATCTGAAGTTGGGAGCTTCCTCTGGGTCTCTCATGTGGGTGCAGGGGCCCAAGGACTTGGGCCATCTTCCACTGCTTTACCAGGCCATAGCGGAGATCTGAATTGAAGTGGAGCAGCCGGGACTCAAACCGGTGCCCATATGGTATGTTGACACTGCAGGCTGCAGCTTTACCCCCTACACCACACCATTAGCTCTGAACATTTCAATAAGCTCCTCTTTAGGATTCTGAACATAATGGAGATTATGGATAATAAATTGTAGATTAGCATTAACGTGGGTTTTAGGCATGCAGGCCCACAGAGGGAGGCACAGACCCCAGCACACCTTGATCAACAGTTTCTTGATGAATGACTACTTGTCTTGAAATATTTTTGTTTTAGGTAAACCAGATGTAGTGGTGAACGAAGATGAAGAATATAAACGTGTTGATTTTAGCAAAGTTCCAAAGCTGAAGACTGTTTTCCAAAAAGAAAATGGTTAGTGGGTAGAAATAAAGCAAAAGAAAAACAGTATGCCAGATTTATTCTCAAAATGGTTTAAGGATTTAAAAAAAGTGATTCTAGTAAATGATTTCAATTTTTCAGACTCAAGTAAAATTAAATTGTTTCAAAGTTTATCCGTTGTGTAAGTTTTAAACTTTTTCATATGCAGTTCATCTTGAAAGTTTGTGATCTAAAGTCAAGTTTCCATGTTATGTTACCCAGGACAGTATTCATGGATGCATCCTCTGTGCCTGGCCTGCCATGGCTTTTCACTGAGTAACTCAGATGTGTTTCTTCACAGTGGGCCACATGCAGTGTGATATTAACCTGAAATTAGTTCTTCCCCCTTCCTGGATGAATTTCTTAGTATAAGATAGGTCTTTGTTTTTTCTTTTTAAAACATTACCTAAAACTTCATATTGCAAGAGAATATTCTAATAATTTCCGTAAGTCTTATGGAGTCTACATTGACAAATTCTGCATCATGAAACTCTATTAACAGTTCAGTAGTTTTTAGTATTCTTTGACATTTAACTCTAGCTGACTCTGTGAAGAATCCGATATAGTGAACGTTTGTTTTAGATAAACAGAGTTAGCCTCTAGGAAAAAAATATGAACTGATCCTGGCTTTGATGGGTTACAGACTAGCACTTACCCAGTTCCCCCATACATGTCTTCCTGAGCTAGCTTAGAGAAAACTTTATACTGTTTGGAGGTTCAACTGTCTTCACACATTTACTAGCATAGGCAGTACTCCCGTAGCATTTTTTATATGGAACCAAATGAACGCAGTGCTGAGGAATGTCTTGACCCATCTGTTGTCTGCAGGCACTGTCACAGCTGCCAATGCCAGCACACTGAACGATGGAGCAGCAGCTGTGGTTCTGATGACTGCGGACGCAGCCAAGAGGCTCAATGCTAAACCGCTGGCAAGAATAGCAGGTAGGAATGTTCCGACCTTGTTTACGACTAAACTTCTATAGTCCTTTCTGAAATTTTGTTAATTGCTAACACATAATGCTGTAGTTAGCTATTCCTATCTATTAGGAGAGAATTTAACTGATAAGTATGTCAATTGAGATAGAAACTCCCTTAATATTATAGAGTAAGTCTTTAAAATTAAACTTTTCCTCTTATATGAGAGTAAGGTATGTGTTTTCTTAGGCAGACAGGAGAACAAAAAAACTAAATTGGGAGTCTAGAAACAGGAAATCTACATGTTCTGGCATTAACTATGTGGCTTTGGGCAGGGTATCAGTCTCCTTGACTTGGCCCTCTTCATAAAGAGTTAGAGCAGATGGACTTTTGTAAAAATAAAAACAGCTTTTTCTTTACATCTTCTAAGGTTTATTTATTTATTTATTTTTTTGAAACACAGAAGAGATCATCCATCTGCTGATTCACTCCCGAAATGGCTACAACAGCTATAGCTGGGCCAGGTTAAAGCCCTTGAGTCATCTTTTGTTTTTCTCCGGCACATTAGCAGGGAGCTGGATTGGAAGTAAAGCAACCTGCTCTCAAACCTGTGCTCTTAAGGGATGCTGATGACGCAGGCAAGATTAACCTGCTGCACCACAACACTCCAGGGCATGTTTTTTTTTTTTTTTTTTTTAACCTCAGCACTACTGACATTTTGCACTAAGTAGTTCTTTGTTATGGAGGCTCTCCTGTGTGCTGTGGTGTATTTAGCAATATCCTTGGCCTGTATTCACTAATTTCCACTGGCATCCCTCCTACCTGTTGTGACAAAAATATCTGTAGACAGTGCCCTTGTCCCCTTCAGGCAGATTCCCTTCAACCTCCTCCCCATGCAAATCAAACTCTTAGCTGATTAGTATACAGTTTAGAAATTTAGAAAAGGAACAGATATGTTTACATGTCTTATAGGGATTAGGAAGTCTACTGTAAATGGCTTGTCTTTTGTATATTATGTATAGCAGATACAGCTTTGGGTGCTTGTAAAGAAACATTTACCAACTTTTGTTTTTTTAAATAGCATTTGCTGATGCTGCTGTAGACCCTATTGACTTTCCAATTGCACCTGCATATGCTGTACCAAAGGTGAGAACAGTGATGGACTGTTTCAGTGGCTACCTTCTTTGCTTATACCAGGTTTATACTGCAGGTTTTATATTTTAAATATTACTCATCTGCCAAAGCACACAGTTTGATCTTAATCTTTCTACTTCTCGTGAAAACAGTATGAGGAAAAAGAATGACAAAAATAAAGTATAACCCCCAAACCACATTTTCCATAGACATTGAAAAAAGGTAAGAATTTTATAACTGAATTACTATATTCTAAAAAGGCAAAGGATGGAGTGGCATTAAAAAATTAAATATAAAAGGGAATGCTGGTAATGGTAAGTCCCAGAAGTAGTGGTATCGCTCTTGAATGGGATCTGCTGACAGGAGGTCTTACAGAGTAAGCAGTGGAATCAGAGACAGAAACCCTATGTATTCGATTCTGGGAAAGACTGTAAAGGTATTAGCTTAAGGATAATTAGCCCAGAGAATGACTAAAATAAAACAGATCATATAGTAAGAGTTTAAAGTCACGAGTATTTACATCTGTTCAGAAACGTAACAGTTTCTGTTCGTGAAAATTGAATTAAGGCATTTGTTTTGATGTCATAAATAAATGTATAGAAGGATCTCATGGAAAATACATATGAAAACTATGCATGGATTAAAAAAAAATTTTTTTTTTGACAGGCAGAGTGGACAGTGAGAGAGAGAGAGAAAGGTCTTCCTTTTGCCGTTGGTTCACCCTCCAATGGCTGCTGTGCTGCGGCCGGTGCACCGTGCTGATCCAATGGCAGGAGCCAGGTGCTTCTCCTGGTCTCCCGTGGGGTGCAGGGCCCAAGCACTTGGGCCATCCTCCACTGCACTCCCTGGCCACAGCAGAGAGCTGGCCTGAAAGAGGGGCAACCGGGACTAGAACCCGGTGTGCCGACGTCGCAAGGTGGAGGATTAGCCTAGTGAGCCGCGGTGCCGGCCTGGATTTTAAATTTTGACTCCAAAATAAGCTTACCTTTTAATTTTATTTTCCACATGTTTTCTGAAGCATCCTCACAGAGATGAACAAACCTTTTTCATTTAACAGGAATCGACAACTAAACATATAATCAAAAAGATAGGAATATATAGGATACTCAGATGTCTGTTTTCTATCAGCTCAAAATGAGATATAAACTAATGTAAACAAAATTCATTGATTGTAACATGAGGAATTAAAAATGTGAAAGTGGATCCTTCCTATTTTTTTTTTTTTTTTTTTTTTGACAGGCAGAGTGGACAGTGAGAGAGAGAGACAGAGAGAGAAAGGTCTTCCTTTTTGCCGTTGGTTCACCCTCCAATGGCCGCCGCTGCAGCCGGCGCACCGCGCTGATCCTGGCAGGAGCCAGGAGCCAGGTGCTTTTCCTGGTCTCCCATGGGGTGCAGGGCCCAAGCACTTGGGCCATCCTCCACTGCACTCCCTGGCCATAGCAGAGAGCTGGCCTGGAAGAGGGGCAACCGGGACAGAATCCGGCGCCCCAACCGGGACTCGAACCCGGTGTGCCGGCGCCGCAAGGTGGAGGATTAGCCTATTGAGCCACGGCGCCGGCTCGGATCCTTCCTATTAAAAACTCCATAGTTAGATATCTGTTAAAGAGAAACAAACTAGAATTAGAGAATTCTAAGAAAACAAAATAATTGTGATTGTTAAGGGAGTATCATTTGTTTTCTAAAAACTTAGGTCCTTAAAGACGCAGGACTGAAAAAAGAAGATATTGCAATGTGGGAAGTAAATGAAGCCTTTAGTGTGGTCGTACTAGCAAACATTAAAATGCTGGAGATTGATCCCCAGAAAGTGAACATCAATGGAGGAGCTGTTTCTCTGGGGCATCCAATAGGGTAAGTAACATGAAAATATACCTGGATTAATAGTTGCTATTGGGTTCTCATTAAAAGTTGTTTAAAAAAAAAACAGAGTAACAAAGGTCTACCTGTTAGTTTACTCCCCAAATGCCCAACTTGGGCTGGGCCAGAAATTCCTTTTGGGTCTCCCATATAGGTAGCAGGAGCCCAAGTACTGGGCCTGTCTGCCACTCCTTTCCTAAGAACATGGCAGAGAGTCGGATGGGAAGAGGGGCCAGAACTCCACTATGGGATGCAGGTGTCTCAAGCAGCTGTTTAACCTGCTTCATGATAATTCCTGCTGCTTTTAGTTTAACAGTTTTCCTTCCTACCCATTCTTTATAACGCAGACACCATTTGTGGTATACAATAAGCAACACTAACCTCAAAGACCTGTCACTAAAGTCTATGCTCAGAGTTTTAAATTTTTAAATTTATGTGAAAGGTAGTTAGAAAATGCTTTTCCCAATGGCCGCCACAGCTAGGCCTTTGCTGAAGCCAGGAACTCAATTCCACATGGGCTTCAAAAAGGAGCTGTGACATTTCTGAGACAGGTCTCCCAAGTTTAATTCAGCTGTAAATGGTTTGTAAAAAGTTTGGAATAGAACATTTTCTGGTTTGCGATAAATTCTGTACTTCACTAAAGAATCAAAATGCTTTCTTAATCCTAGGATGTCTGGTGCCAGGATCATCGTGCATTTGGCTCATGCATTGAAGCAAGGAGAGTATGGACTTGCCAGCATCTGCAATGGAGGAGGAGGTGCTTCTGCTATGCTGATTCAGAAGCTGTAGACCACCTGTGTTAAGGACACTCTGTGTGACCAGAAAGCTCACCAGCGTGCCTTTCCTGACTCAGCGTGTACTCAAAATAAGCTATTTCATTTTGTACTTTTTTTTTGATGATCAAACCCCCAAACCTTTTGAATTAAATAAACCTTTTCTTTTGCAATCTTTAAAAGTGTGACATATTTCCCTTATGAATCTACATTGTCTGAGATACCATTGGTGGTATTGGTGACTAATGTAAGTAGCTAGAAGCGTCCATTTGAGGCACAAATCAAATCTATATTTTGACTGAATATTTATAGGTAATTAACCTTCAGTAGGCTCACTCTCTAATATATTTACCAACAGTAGCCAGGGCTGGGTGCGGCCACAGCCAAGTCAACCCAGGTTTCTCATGGGTGGCAGGGACCTAACTGAGCCATCACTTGCTGCCTTCCAGAATGTGTACTTGCAGGAATCTGGATTGAGAACCAGGGCTGGACACAGAACTCAGGCACTCCAACGTGGGACAAAGGTGATAAAACTGTCAGGCCAAGCACCTGCCTCACAGTAGGTGCTTCAAATTGAGAACTGTTGGCCAGTGCCACGGCTCACTAGGCTAATCCTCCGCCTAGCGGCGCCGGCACACCAGGTTCTAGTCCCAGTCGGGGCGCCGGATTCTGTCCCGGTTGCCCCTCTTCCAGGCCAGCCCTCTGCTGTGGCCCGGGAAGGCAGTGGAGGATGGCCCAGGTGCTTGGGCCCTGCACCCCATGGGAGACCAGGAAAAGCACCTGGCTCCTGGCTCCTGCCATTGGATCAGCGCGGTGCGCTGGCCGCGGCGGCCATTGGAGGGTGAACCAACGGCAAAGGAAGACCTTTCTCTCTCTCTCTCTCACTGTCCACTCTGCCTGTCAAAAAAAAAAAAAAAAAAAATTGAGAACTGTTTATTCTGGGAAGACTATACAGAGTATCTCGTTATCATTAGTGAGGAAGCCACAGATACAGTGTGTGCAATAGTACTAAACAAGAGAACCACAAGTGCCCAGGTGTAGAATGGGGGCAATTTCTTAGAACCTTGCATTCATATTTGGAGGAAAATCTAGGCTCTGGGCTTCAAATTACTACAGCAGAACGAAAAAGATATAAACTGATGAACTCAAATGGATTTTATAAAAAGGTGAAGAGAGGGGGCTGGCACTGTTGTGTAGTAGGCTAAGCTTCCCTCTCTAGTGCTGGCATCCAATATGGGCACTGGTTCTGGTCCCTACTGCTCCTCTTCTGGTCCAGCTCTCTACTTATGGCCTGGGAAGGCAATAGAAGATGGCTCAAGTACTTGGGCTCCTGCATCCATGAGGGACACCCAGAAGCAGCTCTTGGCTTTGCATTTGCCCAGCTCTGCCTGTTACAGCCATTTGGCACATGAACCAGTGGGTGGATCCCTGACTCTCCTTCTCTCTCTAACTCTACCTTTCAAATAAAAAAATTTTTTTTTTTCCAAAAAGGGGAAGAGATTACTACTTACAGCTGGCCACAATGCCTGTTCATAGGCAGGACGGACCTGAGCACCAATATCTTGAATTACATTTTCATCTGAAAAAAAAAAAAAAAAACATTGTAGCAGGTGCTATTTATATTAGCCTCAATTGTAACTGTGAGAAGGGAAAATTCAGTGGGGAAACAGAGGGTGCAGTAAAGGCCATTGTGCACAGCTATCTTGCCAAGTAATTCTTGTGAACCCTTACCTTTAAAGAACAAAAGACAATGCATATATGGGAAAAAAACTATTCTTACAACTCAGGGGAAGAATACTTTCAAAAACATCTATAGAGTAATCACAACTAACTTGAAATTCAGGTGCTAAGTACTATCCTCAAACCTTAATTTGTACTCATTGAATCTCCCAAAAAGTCAGTGGTAGGGACAGTTATGTCTACTTCATAGATTAGGAAATGAGGTAAAAGGAATGACGAAGTAAATACCAAAGTCCAACAGCTGGCAAGCAGCCGACCTAGCTTTCAAACCCTAGTCAGTCTTCAGAGCCCAGGTTCCACTAGGCTTTAGTCACTTTCCGGTAAGTATCCACCCTAACATAACTGACCCAGGAGTTGGATAAAATAGGAGAAGAGGGTACTCAGAATATTTTTACTGATAAGCAGAGTTAACGAGGCAACCAAAGGGCAGCGATGTGGTAAACATGTGAAAAGTGCTGACAATCCCAGGAAAAAATGTAGAGGAAGCAACACACAAGCAGTATATGAAGCAATAATATAATAGGAAACATAAATGCCAGAAGACAACTGACTAAACATTCTCATTGGAATAAAGTGGTAAGATACTTAGAAAGTGTAGGAACTCCAAAATTAACAAAGGTTTACACCAGCCAGGGAAAGATGATTTAAGAATTCAGGAATGTGGGCCGGTGCCACGGCTCACTAGGCTAATCCTCCGCCTCCGGCGCCAGCACACCGGGTTCTAGTCCTGATCGGGGCGCCAGTTTCTGTCCTGGTTGCCCCTCTTCCAGGCCAGCCCTCTGCTGTGGCCCGGGAGTGCAGTGGAGGATGGCCCAGGTGCTTGGGCCCTGCACCCGCATGGGAGACCAGGAGAAGTACCTGCCTCCTGGATTCGGATCAGCGCGGTGCGCCGGCCACAGCGGCCATTGGAGGGTGAACCAACGGCAAGGGAAGACCTTTCTCTCTGTCTCTCTCACTGTCCACTCTGCCTGTCAAAAAAATTAAAAAAAAAAAAAAAAAAAACATTCAGGAATGTGGAAGTTTATGTAACTACTTACAATGGCTGAGGAAGAAAGGAAGATACTGTGAAATAAGGATTCAGAGTACATCTGCAAAATTTAGGCAAACACCAGAAGAATGAGTCTTAAATTACTACAGATGATTGAAGCCAAAAAACAGTTAGAAAGTGAAAAATGTTAGTATATATCACAAATTATTAGAAAGGTAGAAAGTGTTTTAAGATAGGAAAACTGTTATATAAAGATTACTCAAAATGAAGTTATGGGAATAGGCCTTTAGCCTAGTTGTTAAGATGCCAATGACCCCCTCTGGAGTACCTGGGTTTCATTCCTGGCTCCTGACTCCATAATCCTGCCAACATGGATCCTGGGTTCCTGCCACCTGCATGAGTGACGTGGCATTCCTAGCATTCCTGGCTACCAGCTTTGGCCCCAGCCTTGCCTGGCTGTTATGGACATCTGGAGAGTGGAACCAGCAGGTTGATATGCACTCTCTCTCCCTGCCTCTCAATTGCTTTTAAATGAAATTATGGTGGTCATTCATTGCACAGTATCAAAGCAAAAATTATGGCCAAGATAATCATAGTGAGAAATTAAACATTTATGAAAAAGTGTTAAAAGTGAGACTGAAAGTACCCATCCAACATCAAAATTTTTATCTACTCTGATCATAATAAAACCAAATTTTTAAGTAAAAAAAAGAACATGATACACTCATTCTAAAAAATTATGTTTAAGTTAAAAATCAGCTGTCAGCATTGTGGTGCAAAGGGTTAAACTGCTGCCACCACCCTAAGTGGGTGCAGGTTTGAGTCAGCGCATTGCTACTGTGCCTGGCAAAGCAGCAAAAAATGGCCCAAATCTTTGGGCCCCTGCACCCACTTGGGAGACCAAGAAGCTCCTGGCTCCGGGCTGGCCCAGCCCTGGCTCTGTGGCCATTTGGGGGAATGAATCAGCGGATGGATGATCTCTGTCTATCCCTCCCTCTTACTGTTCGTTTAATATTTAAAAAATTAAAACACTTTCTCCATCTCCTAGATTTTGATGTTCAAACTTGAAATCAGAAATTATTTATATAGCTCAAGGAAAACAAAATGAAATAACTCTTTATTCAATTTCAAAGGTTAAATGTACATGCAAAAGGGACCCTGAGAAAAACAAAGGCTCAGAATTAAGTAGAAAATAGTAAATCAAAAAGGAATGTAGGGGCCAGCATCCTGCTTGGGGTTGGGCCACTGCTGGCCTTTGCAGCCATTTGGGGAGCAAACCAGTGGATGGAAGACCTCTTCTCTCCCCCACCTCGAACACTGACTTTCAAATAAATAAAATAAATCTTTAAAAACAAAAAAGAATGCAGTTGCTAAATCTGTGTTTTTGTAAGAAAAGAATTAGTGACATCCAACTTAGAATACAAGCAGAAATTGGAGAGGAAAAACATGAAATTTGACTCAGAAAAAAGCTCATACTGACTAGATATAATCAATCTAGGTGAAAAAAAAAAAAATTGGAAAACTGCTTAAGCAAAAGGCTCCAGGCACAGATGGTTTACTGATTTAGTCTCAAGGAACAGTTATTTCCCATTCTAAATAAACTGTGGCAGGAAAAACAACAGCAACTAGTTCTTAAAAGTGCTTATTGGGGCTGGTTCTACTCCCAGCTGCTCCTCTTCGAATCCAGCGCTCTGCTATGTCTTGGGAAAGTAGAAGATGGCCCAAGTGCTTGGGCTCCTGCACCCACGTGGGAGACCCAGAAGAAGCTCCTGGCTTTGGACTGGCCCAACTCTGGCCATTGCGGCTATTTGGGGAGTGAACCAGTGGATGGAAGACTTCTATTTTTCCCTCTCTCTATAACTCTACCTGTCAAATAAATAAAAATCTAAAAAATAAATAGTGCTTATTGTTTTCCAGGTGTAGACCTATATATACTGTTTTATTTAAACTTCAACCTTAAGACAGGTACAATTCATTATCCCCAAAATTCAGATGAACTGGAAAGAAAAGGTTTCAAATTTATTTCAAAAGTTGGTAAAAGTGGGGCTGGTGCTGTGGCATAGTGGGTTAAGCTGCTGCCTCCAGTGCCAGCTTTCCATATGGGTGCCAGGTCAAGTTCCGGCTGCTCCACTTAAAATCTCTACTATGGGCTGGCAAAGCAGTAGAATTTGTCCCAAGACCTTGGGCTCCTGCACCCACGTGGGAGACCCAGAAGTTCCTGGCTCCTGGCTTTGGATGGGCCAGCTCCGGCCATAGTGGCCATTTAGGGAGTGAATCAATGGATGGAAGACACTCTATTTCAAATAAATATTTTTTTAAAAGATTTGTTTACTTACTTGAAAGGCAAAGTTACAGAGAGGCAGAGGCAGAGAGAGAGAGGTCTTCCATTCACTGGTTCATGCCCCAGATGGCCGCAAAGGCTAGAGCTGTGTCTATCTGAAGCCAGGAGCCTTTTCTGGGTCTCCCACGTGGATGCAGGGGCCTGAGGTCTTGGGCCATCTTCTACCGCTTTCACAGGCTATAGCAGAGAGCTTGACTGGAAGTGGAACAGCTGGGACTCGAATGGGATGCCAGCACTACAGGCGGCATAGCATTGGCCCCAATAAATAAATCTTTAAAAAAAAAATGATGAAAGTTTGAAACCAATTTCATTAAAAGCAAATCTCAAGAAGTTCACAAGGGGCTGGCGCTGTGATGCAGTAGGTTAATGCCCTGGCCTGAAGCGCCGGCATCCCATATGGGCGCCGGTTTGAGACCCTGCTGCTCCACTTCCTGTCCAGCTCTCTGCTATGGTCCAGGATAGCAGTAGAAGATGGCCCAAGTCCTTGGGCCCCTGCACCCACGTGGGAGACCAGGAAGAAGCTTCTGGCTCCAGATTGGCTCTGCTGCAGCCATTGCAGCCATTTGGGGAGTAAACCATCAATGGAAGACCTCTCTCTCTGCCTCTCCTCTCTCTGTGTAACACTTTCAAATAAATAAATAAATATTTAAAAAAAAAAAAAAAAAAAAAAAAAAAGGCTGCCGCCGCGGCCCACTTGGCTAATCCTCTGCCTGCGGCACCAGCACCCCAGGTCTTAGTCTTGGTCGGGGTGTTGGATTCTGTCCCAATTGCTCCTCTTCCAGTCCAGCTCTCTGCTGTGGCCCAGGAAGGCAGTGGGGGATGCGGCACCCGCATGGGAGACCAGGAGGAAGCACCTGGCTCCTGGCTTCAGATCAGCACTGTGCGCCGGCCGTAGCAGCCACCTGGGGAGTGAACCAACGGAAAAGGAAGACCTTTCTCTAACTCTGCCTGTCCAAAAAAAAAAAAAAAAAAAAAAAAAAATTTTTTTTCACAAACCAAATTTAGTTATATTTAAAGAATCAATCATTAAGATCACAAGGTAATTTTAATTAGGACTGATATGAAAATAAATTGATGATCTTAATGAAAATATTTTAATTGATGTTAGAAGAACATCTGGTTAAACTGAAGAAATATTCCAGATGTACATTCTTGAAGCCCTACAAACAAAAGCCAACATTATACTTATCATTCCTATTTATATGAGGAACAAGACAATGAAACCTACTTTGATCATTATTTATACTTCCTGTGTTAGTAGCAGTACAGTAAGAAGCAGTAAAATTGGCTGTAACAATTATTAACAGATAATATGTACTCAGTAAATAAAAAAGGCACTTGACTATTCACTAGCACTAATAGAAGTCATTCATTACAGAAAATGTAGGAATTAAAATATAACTGTCATGTGTGTTATCAGCACACTTAAGAAAAAAAAGCAGCTCAACTGTTTGGTAGAGTTAATTTGCTGCTTCAGATTCCCAGATCCCACATCTGCATGCCTGGAGTCTGTTACTCAACTTTGGATCTAGCTTCCTGGTAATGTGCATCCTGGGAGGCCGTAGATGATGGCTCAACTATTTGGGTCCCTGCCTTGCAGGTGACAGACCCAGATTGAGTTTTGGGTTCCTTGCTTTGGCCTGGCCCAACCATGGCTACTGCAATGGATAGAAGATACTTTATATTATAATAGGTTGAAGAACAAAGCATCTTTGAAACAAAAATGTGTTAAAACATCCAAAATATGATATCTAACTAGAAAAGGACTTTTATCTACATACAGAAAGAACACCTACAAATGATAGAAAAGGCAGAAAAGCCAATATAAAAATGGGCAGAAGACATGGACAGTTCACAAAAGATACCCAGTCAATAAATATTTGAAAAGGTGTTCAGGGAAAAAAAAAAAATCAAACCCCCAACACAAACTACTAAAATGAAAACATCACATGTTGGCAATAATGTGCAATAACTGGAGCTTGGCCGGCGCTGCGGCTCACTAGGCTAATCCTCTGCCTGCGGTGCCAGCACCCGGGGTTCTAGTCCTGGTTGCTCCTCTTCCAGTCCATCTCTCTGCTGTGGCCCGGGAATGCAGTGGAGGATGGCCCAGGTCCTTGGGCCCCGCACCGCATGGGAGACCAGAAAGAAGCGCCTGGCTCCTGGCTTTGGATCGGCGCAGCGCGCCAGCTGCGACAACCACTTGAGAGGTGAACCAATGGAAAAAGGAAGACCTTTCTGTCTCTCTCTCTCTAACTCTGCTTGTCAAATAAACAAAACAAAACAAAACAAACTAGGGCTTTCCTTACACTGTGTTGAGTATGGTATAAATTGATACCACACACTCTGGAAAATGAAAACCTTTGAGGAAATTTAGACACATACTGTGACTCAGCAACCCTACTCTGAAGTAAGCAAGGGTACTTCTAAAAAGTTCATGGAAAATCGAATTAAACGACATTTTTGGTACAAAAACATTTTGAAATCTACATACACATTTTTCATAATATGCATTTTCCATGACTTTTCCCCATCCATGAGCTTGTAATGCAGCTTAATTTTTATTTTATTTTTTTGACAACAAAATTATTGGGATGAGTGTGTGGCAGAACAGTTAAGGAGCTACGTGAGATGCCCACAACCCAAGCCTGGGTTAGCGTCCAGTTCCACTTCCTGCTGCTGAAAACCCTTGGTGGCAGCAGGTGATGTCACCCACATGAGAGACCTGGATGGAGTTCCTGCTTTCTGGACCAATCCCAGAAGTCGCAGGCAGTTAGGGACTGAACCAGCTAATCAAGATCTTTCTCCCTTGCTCTGCCTTTCAAATAAGTAAAAACAAATAAATGTAAGAGAAGGGTACTTTAATCTTTTCTTCAAACTGGGTATCCAAACAAATTATATATGGGTTAAAAGCTAACTTCTAATTTTGACAAATTAAGAAATAAAAGTGTAGAATCAAGTGATGAAGTAGTTGAATATATATTTCTGGCGAAGAATAAACATTTGCTACAGAAGCAATAACAATTTGATGTTAGAAATGTTGTTTCATAAATCTTCTGGAAGAATTTTTGCAAAATGTATTTAGAATCTTAAAAAAACACTACATAGTAATATGACTTCGAAATTATTCCTAGATAAAGCACTGATCTTGGTCTCCTAACAATCATGATATCCAGCCTTTGCCTGAATACTGATGGATGCCTTTTTCATGTCATGCCCAATTTCAACACAGTATAGGGTATTATAACATTCCCACTAGCAAAAATAATCAAGTACTTTCATTCCAAGACTTCTCAGATTTGGCATACACTGACTTCAATAAGCAGGATCCTTACCTTACATGTAGTTATAAAAAGCCACTTGTTGTTTGTGGTATACTTTAACTCTGAAATGCAGTAACTTGGCAACTAATTATTAACACAGGCTACCAGATACAACAATACAATTGAATTCAAGACATTTGCTCTTTAAACGTAAAATGGGGATTAAGGTTTTGCTCAGGGATATTAAAGTTCCAAGAGTAAGTTGTCTTTAGACTACAATTAGTGGCTCCTAAGTTTGTGAACAAAGTGAACTTGTTTTATTTGTGTAAGTTCTCTATTACTTAGCACATATAAATAAAATTGAGATAATATGTAATTTTAGCATTATATGAATTCCTGAAAAACCAGTAAGAATTTACTGCTAGCAAAGCAATTCAATCCAAATTTCTTTGCCAATATAAAGTAATTCAAACTTTTGAAGTTAATGAAAATATTTATTCAAACCTAACTGGAGTATATCAAGTTGAGTTAAATAAACAAACTGATATTTAGTTCCGTAGGAACAGACGATTGCCATATCATAAAAAATTTCTTACAAGACAAATTTCTGCAATAAGTTTCAGCAATTAAGAAGACAAGATTTCTGCATTGAGAATGTTGTGTTAGAACAGAATGGATTCATTTTTTTCAAGGCCTAGTACAAAAAATGATCAAGGAAAGTGTTTAACAAAATATACACTTGTTGGAGAAAATCCTATTAGGCTGTATTTAATTAAATAAAAAGCACTTAGGAGAACATACTTTAATATCTAGGCACAATTGGTCAGGTACTAATAATACTTTCTGTTTTCATTTAGAAGTCTAAACCAATTATTTAACTTGAAGAATGTGTGTGAGTCTAATTACAGAGAAGGCACCTCTCTCACTCCCCTTAAGGGCCTTTTTGAGAGTAATTTTAACACTTTAAGGGACTTACAGTAAAGATAGTTATCTAGCATACCCCACTTTAGAAGAAACTAAATAAAATATATAACTATGATTTCTCTTTTTACATCTTACGATGGACATGACTTACTAGACAGACACCAGAAGATAACCCTCCACACAGGTTTAACACAGAAATCAAGATTTAAATAAAATGTGCATTGGTCACTACTACATAAAGAATGCTATGAATTAGTGCAATTCTTTAAATCCCCAGTAATTAGGGGAAAAATATATACATACCAAGATATCTCAACCAGTATATTATGAAACTTTTTATGGCTCAACAGTCTAACCACTTACCACTTAAATGTTCTGTAGATCTTAAAAGTTACAAAAAAAATATCAGAACACTCAATAAATGGTTTACAAAATTCTCTCTTTAAAACAAAGAGAACTGAACGAGCAGAAGAAACAGCTAACAGTGTAAAATCCCAGGAATATACTATTTACTGTGATTACAAAAAGGGGCGGTATCCACTCTAGAAAAAAACCCATCAAAACTGTTTATTTCTGATTAGATACTTTACTATCAGTTGAGGCGGTTATCAGTTTTTCTACTTAGCGGCTATGTATTTAAACGTCTTACTGAACAGTTACTGAAAGTAATTTATAAGGATAAGCATCATTTTCCTCCAAAATTGAGAAACTATTCCATATGAATACGCCTTGGAATTAGGAATCATAAGGTCAAAAAAAGTATAAGAACATTAGGTTGATTTAACTTCAATTTCAATAATATTTACACAATATTTACAATATACAATTGTCAAAGCTATACAGTTTTGCAGATTGGCTTTACTTACATTTCTGCAAATTTGTTTTTCTTCCCCAAAATAAAAATATACCAACTATTTACAAATTAGGGAGCTGCTTCAGAAACAGCATGATTTAGATATAAAGTGAAATTTCAGTACAATAAAAGTGCAGGTTATGCTTCAGATTTCTGTCAATATCCCATTCCCTACACTCATAGTTTAAGGGATATGAGTTTTAAATAGCTACTATTTTTAAATGTTCAGAGTGTTTACTCATCATAATGCAATGATAATAAAAACTTGTCCACATCCATTCCAGCTGGAAATGAACTGGGTAGCTTCTTTTTCTGTCAAAAGAGAAAAGGAATAATAATAAGTTCATCCACATACCACTAAAATTCTTTCAGTCTAGAGTTTTCTAGGATTGAAGTTAAATATACTTCAATGGTACTTAAACATCTGGTTAGGGCAAAAGACACTGTATGAATTCATAGCATACAAATGCTGAAGAAGGTAAGACTGAACAAGCTTCCTATGAGTTGATAATTACTGTTGAACCATAAACATTAAAAAGCTTTACTAACAAACATATTAAGGGTAACAGACATGAATCAAATACTGAACACTTAATATACACCAGGTACTTTATAGGTACTACATTCAGTCCTCACAACCACCATGGAAAATGTATGATAACAACATGCCAGTAATGAGGCTGTGATCAAAGAGGCTAAAAGCCAAGGTCACAGAGCAAATAAGCAGCAGATGCAGGACTTAAATTCAGGCTTGCAGGGAGCAAAGCCAAGAATGCTGCCCCTTATACTATATTTCCTCTATGATATTTTAAATTTTTTATGTTTAATCCACTTACTAAACAGCTAAACAAGTCTAAAATAAATGGTTTAATTTATCAATGCTATCACCCTCTGTAGCCCTCCTATAACAGGACAACTATCTGTTAAAGAAGAGGTAAATCTAAATTTCCCAGTGCTTCAATATGTTAACACCTTTAAGGGCTAAGGAAGAGATGGCAAGACATGCTAGAAACAAAATAATCAACCTGAAACCGGCATTGTGGCGTAGCAGGTAAAGCCACCGCCTGCACTGCCAGCATCCCATATGGGCAGTGGTTTGATTCCCAGCTGCTCCACTTTCAATCCAACTTTCTGCTATGGGCTGGGAAAGCAGAAGAAGATGGCCCAAGACTTTGGGCCCCTGCACCCACACGGGAACCCTGAAGAAGCTCCTGGCTTCGGATTGGCACAGCTCTGCCTTATGCTCATCTGGGGACTGAACCAGTGGATCAAAGACCTCTCTCTCTCTCTCTCTCTGCCTCTCTGTAACTCTGTCTTTCAAATAAATAATCTTTCAAAAAAAATCAACTCATCATCTAAAAGGAGCAAGCAGTGCTTTACTTGGTAAATCTACACAGCAGTGGTTTTCCAATATTTCATAGTTTTATGTCATTCACAGAAAAAAATTTGGGTTCTACTGTGACAAAAATAAAACTACTTTTCTATAAGATGTGTATAAATAAATTACTTAATTGTTCTGAAAATGCTGTGTTTCACCTAGATAACTTCTAAGTTTAAGAACTGAGAAACGGGGGCCAACACTGTGGCATAACAAGTTAAGCTGCCACCTGCAATGCTGGCATCCGATATGGGGGCCAGTTCGAGTCCTGGTGGCTCTCCTTTTTTAAAAAAAAAAAAAATTAATTTTTTTTATTTGACAGAGTTATAGACAGTGAGAGAGAGACAGACAGAGAGAAAGGTCTTCCTTCCGTTGGTTCACTCCCCAAATGGCCACTACAGCCGGAACTACGCCAATCCGAAGCCAGGAGCCAGGTGCTTCTTCCTGGTCTCCCATGTGGGTGCAAGGGCCCAAGCACTTGGTCCATCCTCCACTGCCCTCCCGGGCCACAGCAGAGAGCTGGACTGGAAAAAAGCAGCCAGGACCAGAACCCGGAGCCCACATGGGATGTCAGCGCCACAGGTGGAGGATTAACCAAGTGAGCCATGGTGCCGGCCTGGCTCTACTTCTGATCTAGTTCCCTACAAATACGCCTGGGAAAGCAGCAGAAGATGGCCCAAGGATAAGAAGGCACTCGCATCCATGTGGGAGATCAGGATGAAGCTCTGGCTATTGCAGCCATTTGGGGAGTGAACCAGTGGATGGAAGACTGGCTCCTCCCCCTCAAAAAATAAAAAAACCTGAGAAACACTGCTATCCAACATTGTTTGTCAACTGTAATTCAAAGCTGTCCTGACCACAGTATGCGGTCAGGTGGCTGTGGCAAAAGATGCCGAATTCTTTACGTAGTATAAGTGTGTAGTTTTGAAAGAAAACTTTCAAAGTTACCTTAATTTTCTTCTTTTTCATTGGTACTGATGAATTTGCAAGATTTTTACTAGAAGTACGTGAGTTTCGCTCACGCTCATCTAGTTCCTCAATTTTCCGCTTTTTTGTGGTGCTCCTTGAAGATGCTCTAAATTGCTGGGTGTTGTCTTTCAGAGGAGTTGCAGAAGTAGTCCTTGAGATGGCTGCTCTGGAGAGAATCATTAACGTATGGGCAGCCATGTTTACACTGTTTTCACTGCCTGTTTCACTGGCAGGGCTGCAGGCAGGCAAGTCCGCGGTGACTGGAGGGATCATTACTTTGGCTGTGCTACTGTCTTCACCAAAACGCCTGTTAGAAGGGGCTTTGATACCATCTGTAGGTTCTTCTTTATGTTTTTCGCCTGTCCCTGCACCAGGTGTCCGGGCTACAGGTAAATCGCTATCACTGAACCTATTTACTGGGCTATGCCACTGAACATCCTGTAACATTTCCGTGGTAACCAAAGAACTGGCAGACTTCATTTGCTCTTGTTTGAGATCCTTCACAGCTGTACCTACTGAAATGACATTTTTACCATTTGAAGATGTGCCTTGCTTTTTGGTCAGTTCTTGCAGTGAAGCCATAGCTTTCTCATTCCGTAACCCCCCATTTTGTTGCCCAATGGATAGCTTTGAGGTTTCCGGATTTTTCTGCCTTTCCACATCACCGCATAGTTCATTTTCCTTGTTAGCTGTTGTTTTATGGAAGGATTCCAGCAGAACTTCTGTTGGCGAGCCTTTCTTTTCTGATTGAGCTTCTTTTACATTGGTATGTCGGCTAACAGCTGTTTCTGATTTAGATAAGATCTTAGGCATAGGCGGTTTCTCTCTCTCTTTTCTGACAGCATTATTACAAGGAGGTTTTAAGGTGGAGGACACAATGGGTGAGTCAAGATTAGGAATGGAAGTTTCATTCCTTTCTTTGATTTGGGACACCATCTTAGGGTGTGTCCCCTGGGTGTTTGCCGCAGGAGAAGTGCTATCAAAACACAGCACACGTCTGTGGCTTTCAAATGGTTTGCTAGTTGGAACTATATTCTCTACAGAGAAAGGAACTGTAATTTCTTCCAATTTTTTCCCAAGATCTGTGGTTGTATTCTTGTCTGATGCTTCAGTTCTACAAAATAACCAAAACAAAACAAAAACCACAGATTTTTCTAGCAACAAAAAGAAATACTTAGTGTTTTTAATCTGAGCATTCAAATAATCTATGATAGAAACAACTTTGGACTTACCTTTGTGTATGACATCCAACTGAATGACTTGAAGAATCCACTAAATTATTTACCTGTTTTCCTGAAATTATAAATGATTTAATTAGGAAAGAAAATGTTCCTGAAACTAAGAATATACTATACTCTTCTGAAAAAGGATGCCACACATAGCAACCACACATGAGAAAAAATTTTAAATAACTAATAAAGAAATTACTTTAATATTAAAACACAAAAATATAGGCACTGGCGCTGTGGCGCAGTGGGTTAACGCCCTGGCCTGAAGCGCCAGCATTCCATATGGGTGCCTGTTCAAGATCTGGCTGCTCCACTTCTGATCCAGCTCTCTGCTATGGCCTGGGAAAGCAGTAGAAGATGGCCCCAGTCCTTGGGCCCCTGCACCTGCATGGGAGACCTGGAGGAAGCTCCTGGCTCCTGATCGGCGCAGCTCTGGCTGTTGCGGCCAATTGGGGAGTGAACCAGTGGATGGAAGACCTCTCTCTCTCTCTCTGCGTAACTTTGACTTTCAAATAAATAAATAAATCTTAAAAACACACACACACACACACACACAAAATATTTAAAAACACCTTGTTAAAAAAGGAGCTTTGGACTGGAAGATGGCCCAGCTACCTGGGGCCCTGTCACCCCTGTGGCAGACCTGGATGTTGTTCCAGGCTCCTGGCTTCACTTTACCTAACCCTGGTTGTTGTGGCTATTTCGGGAGTGGTCCAGCATGTGGAAATCTCTGTCTTCCCCTCTTTCTCTCTGCAGCTCCCTTCCTGCTTTCCAACCCCCCTCCCCCAAAAAGGGGTAGCTCTGGGGCAGACATTGTGGTACAGTGGGTTAAGCTGCTGCTTGGGATACCTGTATTCCATACTGGAGTGCTAGCTGCAGTTCTGGCTACTATGCTTCTGATCCAACTTCCTGCTAATGCACCCTGCAAGGCAGATGATGGTGAAACTGCTTGAGTCCCCGCTACAAGGGAGACCCAGCTGAAATTCTGGGCTCCCAGCTTCTTCCTGGTCTAGCCCTTGCTGTTTCGGCAATTTGGAGTAAACCAGGGGATGGAAGATTTCTCCCTCTCACTTTGCTCAAGCTTTGAAGTAGATGAAAGCTCTTGGGATTCCTGTACCCCGTACTGCAGTGCCTGGGCTTGAGCCCTGGCTCTGCTTCTGATTACATCTTTTGGTCAATGTGCACCTGGGGATATAGTGGCAGGTGATGGCTGAAGTAGTTGGGTTCCTTCCACCCAGATGAAAAACTTGGATTGAGTTCTAGCCTCCAGGCTTTATTTAGCTTTGCCCGACCTGTAGGTTGTGGGCATTAGGGAAGTAAACAGGCAGATGTGAGCTCCAACTCTCTTTCAAATATTTTAACATTGGACCAAATAAATTTTTTAAAAATATTTATAAAAAAGCAGCTTTTTAATGTATGCAAGAGCAAATGACTTCAACTTCAGGCAAATACTACAAATCCAGTTTCTGGATCTAGAAATTACAATATACTTATTGTACTACTTGGATCCAGATAGTTATTAAAGAAAACAACAATCTAAGTCCTTTAAAGTTTTCCCAACGTAACTGTCATCTATGTCAGCCTATGTCACTTACAGAGCATGCTTTGATTTTTTTTTAAGATCTATTCATTTATTTGAAAGGCACAGTTAGAGAGAGGGAGAAACAGAGAAGCAGAGACAAAGAGAAAGATCCTCTCCTCAAATGGACACAATGGCCAGGACTGGGCAAGGTCGAGGCTAGGAGCCACAAGCTCCACCTGGGTGTCCTTGTAGGTGGCAAGGCCCCAAGTACTTCGACCATCATGTACTGCCTTTCAAGCATATTAACACGAAGCACAACAGCTGGGGCTTGATCTGGAGTTCATATGGGAAGCCGGTGTTGCAGACGGTGGCCCACCTGCTGTGCCACAACACAGGTCTCAATGCTCTAACTTAAACAGCTACATTTTAATTTTCATGGCCTTCAGAGCTTATGTGAGAAAGGAGCAAGATACGAAGGTTGGAAAGGAAAGCAAAAATGAGATGAAAAGGGACTAGTGCACTATGCAGATTTTAGAGATAATTTTTAAGTGTTGTAAATAGGAAAGTTGCATACATAGGTTTATGCTTTAGGAAGATCAGCCTGGCAATAATGTTGAACATGGAATAAACAGGAGAGAAAACTGGAAGAACTGATGAGAGATGATGAAGGTCTTTGAGACAATGTGCATTTACACGGATATGAAGGGTAACAAAGCAATCAGTGGTGACACTGATAAAGTTGGCAGAGGGGGCTGGCAATGTGTCAGCATGTTAAGCTGCTATCTGTGATGCTGGCATCCCATGTAAATGCTGATTGGAGTTCCAGCTGCTGCACTTCAATCCAGCTCTTTGCTTAAGTGCCTGGGAAAGTAGCAGAAGTTGGCTCCAGTACTTGGGCCCTTGCCATGAATATATGAGACCTGGAGGGAGTTCCAGGCTCATGGCTTTGCCCTGACTCAGCCCTAGTCATTGCAGCCATTTGGGGAGTAAACCAGCAGATGAAAGAGTGTACTTTCTCTCCCTCTCTCCCTTTCCCTTTTTAATTCTTTCAAATAAAGGAATCTTAAGGAAAAAAAGATTGGAAATGTAGAATTTGAAGGACTTGAGTTATATGTAAGATCAGCGAGAGAGTGGCAGAATAAATTTAGTGATGGTTTCAGAAACTATCAGTTGTATTAATAATTAGAAGAGGGGCTGGCACTGTGGCACAGAGGGTTAAAGCCCCAGCTTGCAGCACTGGCATCCTATTTGGGTGCCGGTTTGAGTCCTGGCTGCTTCACTCCCCATCCAGCTTTCTGCTATGGCCTGGGAAAGCAGTAGAAGATGGCTCAAGTTCTTGGGTGCCTGCTCCCGTGCGGGTGACCTGGAAGAAGCTCCTGGCTTCAGATCAGCTCAGCTTAGCTCTGGCTGTTGTGGTCATTTGGGGGGTGAACCAGCGGGTGGAAGACCTCTCTCTCTCTCTCTTTCTGTAACTCTTTCAAATAAATAAAACAAATCTTAAAAAAAATAATTACAGGAAAATAAGAATGGCAAAGTTCAATGCAAAAGGCAGTATTAGAAAGTCACTAGTGACCTCTCATGTTAAATAAGAAAAGAGAATACCACAAATGAAGGAACGTGAGATTAAGAAGGGTCAGGAATAAAAGTTTGGCAAGTTTCAGACACATAGGGAAGAAATAAAGAGAAAAAAATTAATGTTAAAAGATACAACCTAGAGCACAAGTAGTCTGCATTAACCTTAGAAAGAAAGAGTTATTCCTTGAGAAGAGAAAATGGAAGAATGCTTTTGGAAGTAGAAAAGATACATACCGAATGGGAGTGATGAACACTGAGTTTCCCACGATTACCATTATTTCTTTATATATTTTTATAAAACAATTATTCATTTGAGAGGCAGAGAGAGAGATAATCAGACAGCAACACAGTGAGCAAGTTCCCATCAGCTGGTTCTCTGCCCAAATGCTTGTAATACACTTGGCAAAACTGAAGCTGCAAGTTGTAAATTTAATCTAGGCCTCCACTGTGGGTGCCAGGGACCCAAGTACTTCAGTCATCACTGCTACCTCCTACGGCCTGCATTAGCAGGAAGCTGGACTGAGAAGCTGGAATTGAGCACCAAACTAGCAGGAAGCTGGGAACTGAGCACCAAACTCTGGTATGCCAATATAAGATGCAGGTGTCTTAACTGCTATGTTAAACAATTATTGCCATTATATATTTCTGAGACTAAAAAAGAATGATTCTTTTTTTTTGAAAGATTTATTTATGTATTTGAAAGTCAGAATTACAGAGTGAGAGAGGGAGAGATAGAGAGTGTGCCATAGCACTGGCCCCAAATTGGTCATATGTTAAAAATTTTATGGTATATATATTTTACCAAAATAAAAAATAATCTAATACAAAAAAGTTATAAATTCAAGTTGGGTTCTACATTAAAAACTAATGACAGGATAGCTGTAGATCAAGCTGAGTTAAACAGCATACATGTCATTTTAGAAATTAAAGAATCGGGGCCGGCACCGCGGCTCAATAGGCTAATCTTCCACCTAGCGGCGCCGGCACACTGGGTTCTAGTCCCGGTCGGGGCGCCGGATTCTTTCCCGATTGCCCCTCTTCCAGCCCAGCTCTCTGCTGTGGCCAGGGAAGGCAGTGGAGGATGGCCCAAGTGCTTGGGCCCTGCACCCCATGGGAGACCAGGAGAAGCACCTGGCTCCTGCCTTCGGATCAGCATGGTGCGCCGGCCGCAGCGCGCCTGCCGTGGTGGCCATTGGAGGGTGAACCGACGGCAAAAGAAGACCTTTCTCTCTGTCTCTCTCACTGTCCACTCTGCCTGTCCAAAAAAAAAAAAAAAAAAGAAATTAAAGAATCAGGGCCAGCACTCTGGCGCAGCGGGTTAACACCCTGGCCTGCAGTGCCAGCATTGATATGGGTGCCGGTTTGAGACCCAGCTGCTCCACTTCTGATCCAGCTCCCTGTTGATGTGCTTGGGAAAGCAGTGGAGGATGGCTCAAGTCCTTGGGCCCCTGTTCTCACATGGGAGACCTGAAAGAAGCTCCTGGCTCCTGGCTTTGGATTGGCCCAACTCTAGCTATTGCAGCCATTTGGGGAATAAACCAGTGGATGGAAGACCTCTCTCTATCTCTCTGCCTCTGCTTCTCTCTAACTCTCCCTTTCAAATAAATGAATAAATCTTTAAAAAAAAAAAAAAAAAAGGGACCAAGAACAAGTTCCTCGTTCCTGGCTTTAGCCTGGCCCAGCCTTGGTCAAATGCGGCTGGAGTGAACCAACAGATGAAGGATCTCTGTCTCTCCCCTTTCTCTCTGTAACTCTTTCAAATAAATAAACAAATTTTTTCTAAAAAAAGTATTTTTAAAAAAGTGTTCATCTGGGGCTGGTGCTGTAGCGCAGCGGGTTAACACCCTGGCCTGAAGTGCCCGCATCCCATATGGGTGTTGGTTCGAGACCTGGCTGCTCCACTTCCTATCCAGCTCTCTGCTATGGCCTGGGAAAGCAGTGGAGGATGGCCCAAGTCCTTGGACCCCTGCACCCTCATGGGAGACCCAGAAGAAGCTCCTGGCTCCGGATCAGCACAGCTCCGGCCATTGCGGCCAACTGGGGAGTGAACCACCAGATGGAAGACCTCTCTCTCTCTGCCTCTCCTCTCTGTATAACTCTGACTTTCAAATAAATAAATAAATTAAAAAAAAAAAAAAAAAAAGGTGTTCATCATATCATAGTTTGTCAGGTCAACTTTGGGAGTGTCTTAAAGTTCCATTGACAGGAGATGAAATGTATAGTAGTATAATGTGACAGTCTGAGAGAATGCCAATAAATCAAAATACAACTTACGCGTACAGTAACATGTATAAATATTGAAGGAAAAGCAAAACTGATCATGGAATTTAGCAGGTAATCTATATATTTACTGCCCTTAAGACACTCAAATTAGTGAGGAGTCAAATATTCACAATGTCAGGTGTTAACTGCTGTAGCATACGCATGACAAGCAATTAAGGGAAAAATAAAAGTGGAATTGGGGCTGGCCCTGTGGCTTGCGGGTAAAGCTGCCGCCTGCTGTCCCATATGGGTGCTGGTTCAATTCCCGGTTGCTCCACTTCCAATTCAGCTCTCTGCTATGGTCTGTGCAAGCAGAGAAGATGGCCCAAGTCCTTGGGCCCCTGCACCCATGTGGGAGACTTGGAAGAAGCTCCGGGCTCCGGGCCTTGGATTTGTACAGCTCTGGCCTTTGCAGCCAACTGGGGAGTGAAACAGCGGATAGAAGACCTCTCTCTCTCTCTCTCTCTCTGCTTCTCCTCTGTGTAACTCCGACTTTCAAATAAATACATAAATCTTTAAAAAATAAATAAATAAAAGTGGAATATCCACTTTGAGTACTTGCTGTTAAAATTAGCTCTTGGTGGGGTGGGGCCGGCGCCATGGCTCACTTGGTTAATCCTCCACCTTCGGCGCCAGCATCCCATGTGGGTCGGTTGCTCCTCTTCCAGTCCAGCTCTCTACTGTGGCCTGGGATGGCAGTGGAGGATGGCCCAAGTGCTTGGGAGACCAGGAAGAGGCACCTGGCTCCTGGCTTCGGATGGGCGCAGTGCTGGCAATAGCAGCCATTTGGGGAGTGAACCAATGGAAGGAAGACCTTTCTCTCTGTCTCTATCTCTCTCTCTCACTGTCTACAACTCTACCTGTCAAATAAATTAAGAAAAGAAAAAAAGAAAACTCCTAGGTTTTAGACATGGATAAATACTAAGATGGGTGAGCCACTGAACAAATTGGGAATGAAGGAAAATAAATTGGGAACTTCAAAGGCTGTTACTCAAAAGTGTGGCCTAGCAGCAGCAGCACAGGCATTCAGTGAAAGCTTATTAGAAACAAGAAATTTTAGGCCCTACGGGAGTCCTACTGTTCAGCAATTGCATTTAACAAGATTCCCAGGTAGCAGTTCATATACATATTAACATTCAGCAAACACTGCCTCTAAAATCTAATATAAATATATAAGACATTCAGTGAACATTTTAAAGCTATCAGAAAATTAAGATTATTATTATTTTAGGTATCTCCAAAGAATAAATTAAGGAACACTGGAACAAAGCTAAAACTTATAAAAGGAAACTCATCAGAATCAAAGATGTCCTATATCAAGGTTGGCTGCCTTCTAATATCTAGTGCTATGAATCTTTAAGCAAACTTAGGATGACTACTTGTTAAGGATGTTATTGGTGTTCAAGAAGAAAAGAGTCAAGCACTGCTACAAACTAATAGACAAACATAAGGCTGACATTAACAAACTTAATATGTTACCTATGCAAGGCTTGTTTCTTGGTCCGTGAGCCTTTTGAGATTTTGCAGGGGCAGGGAATTGAGGGATACTTCTATTGCACACAGGTGCTGCCAAAGGCATATGAAGGACCTGCAAGAGAAGAAGCCATTAATTATACTATGTTTGAAAAGTTTCACTGTAGCACTTTAGTTCATAAACCTCACCTGCCGAGGAGGAGCAGAAAAGGTATTTCCACTCTGTCCCACCACAGATACAGGGATCATTCCCACCATTCCCTGGAGCACAGGCTGCACTGGAGAGGCAATTATGATGGCAGATCCTGAAAAATAATTCTCATTAAAGTAAGAATTTCTCTTAATAATTCTGGCACAAAACAAAGTAATTGTTACTTTGAAATAAAGTAATAATCTTTCCTTACAATCTATTATTTTAGAAAATTAATTAAGGCAGAACAGCAAGGCCAACAAGTAGGTCAATTGAATAGAAAGATGGGCTGATAACATTTTCACAATCATGAGCAAGGAAGTCATACAACTGTACTGTTGACTCCTATAGAAAAAACAGTGAAACTAATTAGAAAATCAGTGAACGTTTCAAGTCTGAGTCTTACACTACGAAATCAGAACCTCAACTGAATGTTTATAGCCTAAGACTGCTCATACACCTAGCCTATTATATATCAATGACACTGGTTAAAAATGATCCAGGTGGGGGCTTACACTGTGGCTTAGCAGTTTAAGCTGCTGCCTGAGATGCCAGCATCCCATATGGTTGGCGGTTTGAGTCCTGGCTGCTCTGCTTTTGACCCGGCTTCCTGCTGATGTACCTGGGAAGGCAGCAGATGACCCAATTGCTTGGGCCCCTGTACACATGTGGGAGACCCGGATGGAGTTTAAGGCTCCTGGCTCCAGCCTGGCCCAGCCCCGTGTGTGGTGACAATTTGGGGAAAGAACCAGTGGAAGGAAGACCTCTGTCTGTTTTGTTTCTTTCTCTCCAACTATGCTTTTCAAAAGAAAAAAGAAAAAGAAAAAAAAGAGTCCAGGTAAAAGGTAAATGAGTATTCAGACAAAACCACGGTGTGTGCGTGCATGTGTTGGGGGAATTACAATGCTTACACAGTAATTAAAAGTCAATAGTATAGGGGGCCAGCGCCGTGGCTCACTAGATTAATCCTCTGCCTGCAGTGCCGGCATCCCTTATGGGCGCCGGGTTCTAGTTCCAGTTGTTCCTCTTCCAGTCCAGCTCTCTGCTGTGGCCTGGGACAGCAGTGGAGAATGGCCCAAGTGCTCAGGCCCCTGTACCCGCATAGGAGACTAGGAGGAGGCACCTGGCTCCTGGCTTCACTGTAGCGGTGAGGGGTGAACCAATGGAGGGAAGACCTTTCTCTCTATCTCTCACTAACTCTGTCAAATAAAAAAAAAAATTAAAAAAAAAAAAAAAAAAAGGTCAACAACAATATAGTCTGTTACTATCACAATTTATCCATGCCCTGTAATGAGAGTATTTTCCTAATACACTAACTACTCTTAGGTTGATTTCACTTTTAGACATACCTGCTATAGTCTTTTTTTTTTTTTTTTTTGACAGGCAGAGTGGACAGAGACAGAGAGAAAGGTCCTCCTTTGCCATTGGTTCACCCTCCAATGGCCGCCACGGCTGGCGTACCACGCTGATCCGATGGCAGGAGCCAGGTACTTCTCCTGGTCTCCCATGGGGTGCAGGGCCCAAGGACTTGGGCCATCCTCCACTGCACTCCCTGGCCACAGCAGAGAGCTGGCCTGGAAGAGGGGCAACCGGGACAGAATCTGGTGCCCCGATCGGGACTAGAACCCGGTGTGCCGGCGCCGCAAGGTGGAGGATTAGCCTAGTGAGCTGCAGCGCCAGCCTACTGCTATAGTCTTAAAATACTTATTCATGCTTGCACTACTTCGTTTGGCTATAAAGACTTCCTTCCTTTAACTCCAAATCCTACCTTATTTCTGTAAGCTTTATCTCAAGCCCAGTTTCTATACCAATTCTGACCTCTTATTTGAGGCAGTACTTCAAACAGGCCCATCAGGTTTAATACTTACAAGTGATGACATTTAATAAAATTTTATTGTGTGTCTATGATGTAAAAAAAAAAAAAAAGGGAGGTGGGAGGGAAGCTCAAGAATCAATACATACAGAAATATAGATGGATATACTGTAAGTCCTATCTTTGATAAACATACGATCTAGAATGACTAATTTGACAGGCATGCCAATCATTAATAAAAAACAGCATGTAATAAATGCTACAAGACACCCTATGAACAAGGGAAACTAAACATATATATTATTCAAATTGTTCCTGGATATCGTTCCAAATAGATGACAACTCTCTTGAAAGCTACAACCATACCAGGTGCATACCTACTAAAATTCAATATTATAGGAGATAAAAAAAACACAGCTATGTGATGAATTAATCTTTCTTTCTCTTTCTCAAAGATTGAGACCTTAATTGTGAAAAGAAAAAATTAAACCACTTCCGTTCATGGCTTACAATTCTTAAAAAAGGCTTCCATAGCCTTGGCAGCTCATGACAAGAGCCTAGGGTGATTACTGATGCCATAAACGAATCCACCACAATTTGTTAAGTCAACAACAGGCGTCACTGTGCACTAACTCCTCATGTAGGATCTTTGTCCTTAGTGTGCTGTACATTGAGATTTAATGCTATAACTAGTACTCAAACAGTATTTTTCACTTTATGTTTCTGTGTGGGAACAAACTGTTGAAATCTTCACTTAATGTATGCTAAACTGATCTGTATATAAAGAGAATCGAAAATGAATCTTGATGTGAATGGAAGGGGAGAGGGAGTGGATAAGGGGAGGGTTGCGGGTTGGAGGGACGTTATGGGGGGGAAGCCATTGTAATCAATATTCTGTACTTTGGAAATTTATATTCATTAAATAAAAGTTAAAAAATGGAAAAAAAAAAGGTGACTGAATTACTCACCTAGTGTAAACAAGAGGCATAATTACAAATTTCAGACTATTTTCTCACACCATCTGATTTATTACCTACAGTTTATTAATTACATACAAGAGAAATCAGATCCCAATCCAGAGACATAAACTTTAACACATTCTTATAGTTACCTTGTGAAAAGTTTGGTGACACAGTTTGGTTGACAGCAAATACATTGTTTGACCTTGGTGGTGTCTGCAACTGAGGTGGTGGGGGCTGTGCAGCCATAGGTGCCGAATTTCCGGGCAGTACTACAACATTAGACTGACTTACAGTTGTTCCCAAGGCTGCAGTTGGATCAGTAACACAGGTAGCTATCAGAATGTTATTCGAATTGCCAAAAGTTGTGCTTGTGGCTGGCATCAACTGTATGTATCCTCCATCCTTGGAAACACATGGTGTGACATTGGCTGGAAAAGCAATGCTATCTTCATTCTGAGTGTTGTTTACAACGGAGTCCTCAAGTTTGAGTGCTAAAAGGTTCTGTTCCATGGAGGCTGAATCCCCTACTTCAGCAGATACAACAGCACCTGCAGTTTCTTCTGAAGACAGGCATTTAACTAACTCTGGGTTTTTGGCAGGTGATTTAGCAGGAGAGGACAAAATTATAGTTGGCAAATTTTCTCCACTGATACTAGAAACAGCACTATTAAGTTCTGTATCTGAGGAAACAAATGGATCATCACTAATGATAATTTTGAGAGAGACGATATTTGCTGCATCTATCTCTGCTGAGTTGTCACTAGAAGGCTTATCAGCAGTATTTTGGGACTCAGGGTGAGCATCTCCCACTGCAGAACACACAGATTCTGAAGGAGGAGAGTGACTATTTTCTGTAGAATTATCTTCTGGAGGCATCAATGCAACTTCCCTACAGTTATCACTTCCATCTAAAGACAGAAAAATGGCATCTCCAACTTCTTTTATAGTAGATGAAGGGTCTTGTGAATCCAAAGTAACTCTCTCAGACTTGGATGGCTCAGTTTCATTTTCTGTATGGTTTAATTCAATAGATGCTGAATCATTAGATGGTTGTTTATTAGAAGAGATGGACTCTCCAAAACTAATTTCTACTTGTTGTACATTTAAACTTGAACTTTCCACAGATAAAGGTAGTATTTTACTTTGTGGTGAAGAATTATCTTGGCAATCTGATAATTGCTGTGACACAACTGGTAACACATTACTAATTTCAATTTTACTCTCATGAATTTCACTAGACTTCGGTGACTTAGAACCATGGAAGTTAGTTTTAAGTCCCACTGAATTATTAGGACTTTCACAAAACTGATTTTTCTTGGATGACTTTTCAGTTAATGAAGTATTTTCAGATAAAAGTTGAGAATTTTTCCCAGAGAGTAGATTTTCATTGTTAGCTTCACCACCAAGTGAAACAAGTGAAGTTATTGGTACTTCAGGCTGTAAGTGAGATTCATCTTGTACATTTGGAGACAAAGAATTCTTTTCAACCTCCATAGCCATTTCAGTTTCAGCAGACATCTGAGTGGGGTAGAGTGCATCACACTCAGCAACAGAATCTCCTCTTTGGTCAAAGTCATTCAAATTAGGCACAGACTCAAAAGTAATGTCAAGGTTACACTTCTCTTCAGTAGGTACAGTTGCTTTAAAGGCCTTCTTCTGGATGCTAGGACCTATGTGGGAAAAATTTTCCTGGGCGTCTTGTCTAAGCCCATCATGGTTGCTGCCATTTTTCAAAGCATTTAATGCATCTTCATTTTGATAGGATGAACAAAATGAGGGTTGACCAGACTGTCCATCTGCAAAACAGCAGGAGGGTGGAAAAATGTGGTAAGTTCAGCTTCTGAGGCAATTTATTATAAAGCCTATTTTGCCAAGGAAGTAACTAATCTTTTACAGGTCAGTAGGTAAAAATAGGATATACCTCATATCTCATTTTCTAAGTATCAAAGTGTTTACATGCATCTTTCAAATTACTCATACCTTTTAAAATAAATGACAAATTATTTTTATCAATTTTTTAGAAAATAGCTGACATGGTAAAGGAAAAAGTATACCTGCTTAAGGACATGTAATATTTACCAGTAGGCTTAAAAAAAATCCAGAAAACAAACAAACAAAAACACAACTGGTTTCAAATATCCCTAAATGTGAAGCTACTAGAGGAAAACACAGGGGAAATTCTTCATGACATCGGTCTAGGCTAAGCCTTTTTGTTGGCTATAATTTCAAAAACACAGGCAGCAAAAGCAAAAACTTACAAATGGGATTACACACACCAAAAACTTTCTACACAGCAAAACAATCAGACTGAAGAGACAGCCCATAGAATGGAATAAATTATTTGCAAACCATTCATCCAACAAGGGATTAACCTCCACAATCCATAAGGAACTCAATCCAACAGCCAAAAAATAATCCGATTATAAATTCAGTGAATCAACTCAATGGATAAGGTTCTAGAAATAAACAAGTATATGAAAAAATGCTCAGCATTACTATTCATCAGGGAAATGCAAATCAAAGCCAAAGTGAAATACCATCTGATCACAGGTAGAATGGCTATCATCAAAGACAAAAAAATAAATGCTGATGAGTATTTGCAGACAGTGTAACTCTCATTAAGCAGCTTCCATAAAAAAGCTAGAAATAGGGGCTGATGTATCAGATCAGCACGGTGCGCCGGCCGCAGCGCGCTGGCCGCGGCGGCCATTGGAGGGTGAACCAACGGCAAAGGAAGATGTTTCTCTCTGTCTCTCTCTCACCGTCCACTCAGCCTGCCAAAAAAAAAAAAAAAAAAGGGGGGGGGCTGATGTTGTAGCACAGTGGGGTAAGCTGCCACCTGCAATGTTGGCATACTAGAGACCAGTTCAAGTTCTGGTTGCTGTACTTTTGATCTCCCTGCTAATGGGCCTATGAAAAGAGTAGAGGATGGCAATAGGGCTTGGGCTCTTGCCACCCATAGGGAAGACCCAGATGGAGACCCAGACAGAGCTCCAGGATCCTGGCTTTGACCTGTGATAATCGCAGCCATTTGAGGAGTGCATAGTAGATCCAAGATGGTCTCTTTCTCCCTTTCTCTGTCCCTTTGCCTTAAACATAAATAAATTTTTTTAAAGGCGAGAAATGTAATTACTTTATGATCCAGTAATTCTACTAATGAGTACATATCCAAATGAACTGAAATGTTTAAGAATCTTTCATATTTACTATAAAACCATTCACAATACCCAAGACACAGAATTAACTTAAGTGTCCAGTGACAGAATGGATAAAGACAATATGGTAAATGTACAGAAGGGAATATTATTTAGTCAAAAAAGAATGAGGCTCTGTTATTTGTTATGAAATAGAACTGAAGAATATCACATTAAGTGACATAAATCAAGCACAGAAAGACAGATACTGCACGTTCTCCCTTACACATCGAAGCTAAAATGTTGATCTTAAAGTAAAAGAGACTAGCATTTGAATACCAGAGCCTGGGAAGGGTAAGGAGTAGGAAGGGATTGAAAGAGGATGTGTCTAGCATGACATGCCACTATGCTTTGTTTACAGGTATTAAAATGGCACAATGTACATCATAAAATGTGCAATTACTATGTCAATTAAAAAAATTTAAAAAATCTTATCCTCAACACAAAAAAAATCCTCTTTCCCAGAACATACTGCAAGATAAATCAATGAGCACTAAAAGTTCAAAAGTTCACCTTTCAAACTACTAAACTCTTGGGAATGCGTTTTTTTTTTTTTTAAAGATTCATTTATTTATTTGAATGTCAGAGTTACACAGAGAGAGAAGGAAAGGCAGAGAGAGAGAGAGAGCGAGAGAGAGCAGTCTTCCATCTGCTGGTTCACTCCCCAAATGGCCGCAACGGCCGGAGCTATGCCGATCCAAAGCCAGGAGCCAGGAGCTTCTTCTGGATCTCCTACGCAAGTGCAGGGGCCCAAGGACTTGGGCCATCTTCTACTGCTTTCCCAGGACATAAGCAGAGAGTTGGACCAGAAGTGGAGCAGCCAGGTCTTGAACTGGCGCCCATATGGGATGCCCACACTGCAAACGGCAGCTTTAACTGATACGCCACAGCACCGGCCCCAGGAATAATTTCTTTTTTAATGGAGAAAAAACTAGAAATAAAGACCCTTGTGATAAACTGACAAACTTTCAAGTATTTCCTCCTTTTGAATTTTAAGACTAATATAAAGATTTGGATTGATAAAATCAAATTCTTACCAGAATCTTCTGTTTTAAAAGTACCTTTAGGTGCTACATTAGTTTCATCTTCTAAAATTATACTGGGACTGGTTTCCATATGTTGATTGGTTTCCATATGTTGACTGGTTTCCATATGCTGACTAGAAATGCTTTGTGATATATTCTTATTATTCTTTGTTTTACCTGTTAAAAAAAGACACATGGAAATAATTAATGACCAGTATAAAATAAGGGGTCAAGCAAATGTTAAATTTTGGTTTTAATTTTGGCTTTTTAGATATTTTATCATACTTTTTAAAATTTATTTTATTTAGGCTGGCGCCACGGCTCACTAGGCTAATCCTCCGCCTTGTGGCGCCAGCACCCCAGGTTCTATCCCGGTCGGGGCGCCGGATTCTGTCCCGGTTGCCCCTCTTCCAGGCCAGCTCTCCGCTGTGGCCAGGGAGTGCAGTGGAAGATGGCCCAAGTACTTGGGCCCTGCACCTCATGGCTCCTGCCATTGGATCAGCACAGTGTGCTGGTCACAGTGCGCCAGCCGCGGCGGCCATTGGAGGGTGAACCAACGGCAAAGGAAGACCTTTCTGTCTCTCTCTCTCACTGTCCACTTTGCCTGTCAAAAAAAAAATTTTTTTATTTTATTTACTTGAAAGAGAGTTAGAGAGACAGGCAGAGACAGAGAAAAAGAGATCTTCTATCAGCTGGTTCATTCCCCAGAAGGCACCAATGGCCAAAGCTGGGCCAACCCGAAGCCAGGAGCTTCATCTGGGTCTCCCACATAGGGGTACAGGCTTATGGAGTTGGGCCATCATCCAATGCTTTCCCAGATGCATTAGTAGAGAGCTGGATCAGGAGTGGAGCAGCCGGAACTTGAACCACTGTCCACACGGGATGCTGGTGCTGCTATCCAGGGCTTTAACCCGCCGCGCCACAGTGTCAGCCCCTTAACATGCTGTTTTACGTATCATTTGTAAGTACAAACATTTTTTTCTTAGAACATTTATTTGAAAGTCAAGAGTTACACAGAGAAAGGAGATGCAGAGAGAGAGAAAGAGAGGTCTTCCATCCATTGGTTCACGCCCCAATTGGCTGCAATGGCTGGAGCTGCGCCCATCTGAAGCCAGGAGCTTCTTCTGGGTGTCCCATGTGGGTGCAGGGGCCCAAACACTTGGGCCATTTTCTACTGCTTTCCCAGGCCATAGCAGAAAGCTGGATTCGAAGAGGAGCAGCCGGGACTAGAACCGGCGCCCATATGGGATGCAAGCACTGCAGGTCAGGGCGTTAACCCGCTACACCACAGCGATGGCCCCAGTAGAAAAATTTTTACACTAGTCCTGTGGTTATTTAACTATTAGAATTTCCTGGAGGCCCCAAGTTCTCAGATAAAGTTGATAGTGCTGATTTTTGGGGCTGTAATTTGAGAACTATTGCACTAGATTAAGAAACTGAAGAAAATGGCCAATTTTTCATACTCCTTTTGTATTTTCTATTTTGTTTATTAATTATAGTACTGGACCTCAACAGTCTGCTGACTGGCCACAATGCTCACAAAAACAAAAAAATAAAGCCTCCCCATTTAACGGCTAAAATTTAAGTAAAAACAAAGTGAAGCAAGACACTATCTTTTACTTGTTCATACAATATTTACTTTAACAAAGTTAAGAACTTTTTCAAGACGTGCTATGGAGTGTTGATTGTGTTAAGTTAACCAAAGAAACTAGAGAAATTTTTTTGTCTAACTGCTGTGAAAGCAACAATACACTTACCATAGTCAAAGAGATCAAAGAGGGCCTGAAATGCTGGGTCTGATTCTGTCTGTTCCAATATATCCTGTATAACTTCTTCAGACATGTGAATTTCGCTCTGCAAAAGAGTGAGGTAAAGGCAAGATCCTAACTGAATTAATATGGTTTAGTAAAAGCAAAATAATTAGCAGACATTTAATATCTTTGACTTTGTATGCAAAAACATTTCCCTTCAAGAAAACTGATTGTACTTTAAGTCTATTGCAGAGGGGCTGGTGCTGTGGCTCACTTGGTTAATCCTCTGCCTGCAGTGCCGGCATCATGGGCACTGGGTTCTAGTCCCGGTTGCTCCTCTTCCAGTCCAGCTCTCTGCTGTGGCCCGGGAAGGCAGTGGAAGATGGCCCAAGTGCTTGGGCCCTGCACCTGCATGGGAGACCAGGAAGAAGCACCTGGCTCCTGGCTTCGTATCAGCAAAGCACTGGCCGTAGCGGCCATTTGGGGAGTGAACCAATGGAAGGAAGACCTTTCTCTCTGTTTCTCCCACTGTCTAACTCTGCCTGTCAAATAAAAACAAACAAACAAAAACAACTATCGCAGTAAGACTAGAAAGTAGAACGTGAACGTTTTTTTAAATGACACTTAACTAATCACTTTGATGAACACATTCCTCAAAATTCAAATGAATATACAAACTATCCATACATATCTAAACAAAAACAAATGTAGTATTTTGTAGTAGATTGTTTTATATCGTTCTGTATAAATTTATCTCCATCTTTTTTTCTTGTCTGCTTTGCTCTCTTCATATTAAATGCTTTCTTAAAGTGCTACATAATTCTCGCTTATCTACTCATTCAAAAGTGCTATGCCAAAAGCTGCCTTATGTAAGCTCTATTCCAATTGGTGTAGGAGGGACAAAATCCAAGCTACAGAATTACCTTCCAGAACCACATATATTTTTAGTTCTTTACTTTCAATCAAGTCATATTCATTGCTGGCAGAATTTATGAATAGCAATAGTATTTGCAGGGTGGGTAGCATGTAATGGAGAGAATACAAGTTTACTTCTTGCTGCTTCGTCACCCCTTTATATATTTTAAAAGATTTATTTATTTGAAAATCAGAGTTAAACAGAGAGGGAAGAGGCAGAGAGAGAGAGGTCTTCCATCTGATGGTTCACTCCCCAAATGGCCACAATGGCTGAAGCTGCACCAATCTGGAGCCAGGAGCCAACGCTGGGTCTCCTGGGTGGGTGCAGGAGCCCAGGGACTTGGGCCATCTTCTACTGCTTTCCCAGACCATAGTAGAGAGCTGGATCGGACGTGGAGCAGCCTGGACTAGAAAAGGTGCCCACATGGGATGCCAGCGCTTCAGGTCAGGGTGTTAACCTGCTGCATCACAGCGGCAGCCCCTAGAAATTTATTTTTTCTGAGCTTTGCCTTTACTGGTATAGAATTGGGGTCTTTATGTCAGGTACTATTCCTCCTTTCCAGCTTCTAAGAACTGTTTTCCCATTTTGCTCCCTTTTGTTCTTTGGCCTTGGGAGTTTGTGCTTTTGAAAACATTCATTTGTACTGTTTTACAAACTATTACTTAAATCTGATTTTTTAACTTTCCCACACAGACAAGGTTATCAACAACCAAGAACAGAGGGCCCTGTCTTCACTTTCACATAATTCTTCATAATATCAAATAGATTGCTCTGATTATGGTCAGCAACTGATGCAGTTGTGAAGACAAAATCAAGGAGTTGTAGACTATATAAAAATTTAGATAAAGGGAATGTACTCGTTAAATGTTTATATAGGAATGTTTTTTTAAATAAAGTACTGGCGTATGCAAAAAATACTGAATGGTTTTACCTAGAATTCAAAGAAAAGCTACTATAATGAATTCACATGGGCTTGTCAATAAAAAATGTTTACATTTTAAGAACTACAAGTACATGGATGTGCTATAGCCTCAACCTCAGTTACTCTTCCAAAAGGAAAACTGTACATGGAAAAATGTTATACAGTAAAAAGTTCTGCCTTTACCTTGGCTGGTTCATTCTTTGTTTTTAAAGATTTATTTATCTGAAAGGCAGAACAACTGAGAAAGAGGGATACACACAGGTACATACACCCACGCCCACACAGACACACGTGGCGGGTAAGAGGGAAGGAGAGATCAACAGAGAGCAATGATCTATCTACTACCTCACTTCCCAAATAGCTGCAATAGCCAGAGCAAAGCCAGGAGTCAGAATTGCAGCTTGATCTTCTACATGGGTTGCAAAAAGCCCAAGCAAATGAGCCATCCTCCACTGCCTTCCTAAGTCCATTGGCAATAAGCTGGATCAGGATCAGAAGCAGAGTGGATTCTGATATGGAATGCTCATGTTAAAAGTGGAGATTTAGGGGCCAGTGCTGTGGCGCAGTAGGCTAATCCTCTACCTGCGGCGCCAGCATCCCATATGGGCGCTGGTTCTAGTCTTGGCTGCTCCTCTTCCCAGCTTTCTTCTATGGCTTGGGAAAGCAGAAGATGGCCCAAGTCCTTGGGCCCCTGCACCTGAGTGGAAGACTCAGAAGAAGCTCCTGGCTTCTGGCTCCCGGCTCCCGTTCGGCGCAGCTCCTGCTGTTGCGGCCATTTGGGGAGTGAACCAGCAGATGGAAGACCTTTCTGTCTCTCCCTCTCAAATAAATAAAAAAATAAATAATCTTAAAAAAAAGGGGGAGGATTTAATTGCTGTGCTGTTATAGTCACTTTTTGTATTCACCAAGACTGAACAGCAACAGTGACTACAGCCCCTATCTTTCTTCTCTTGCTTAATTATTCATTCAGTTAGTGCTTTTTTTTTAGTGTCCACTTAATTTTGTTAAATAAGTTGAACTTATCTTTATATTATATGGTTTGTAGCAGTGTAGAAGAGATATAATTTAAACACTGTAGGAAAGGACTTCAAAAAGTTCATGAAGAATCTGAATTAAAGGATAATGTGAATTTCCCCTGAAGGACAGAGAGACTTCCCAAATACCTGCAACAGCCAGCACGGGCTAGGCTGATGCTGGGAGTTGGGAACTCTGTCTCCCACATGGGTCCCAAAAGCTTCATCATTTCAGCCATCACACCTGCCTTCTGGGGTTTGTATTAGAAGGATAATGTATTTAGGTGCTGGAGCTGGGTATTCAGACCATGCACTTTGATGAGGGACACGGGCAGCTTAACTGGTGTTTCAGTCACTAGATTAAATGTATACCCCCACCACAACTTTTTGAAGCTACCTCATATATATTGTTGATTATTACAAACATCAATCTTCTCACTAATGAGTTGTTAAGCATTAAATACTTGGAAATCCAGAATGGACTGTTGTATGAGTAAGAGATTTTAGATACAGAGCAAAACTGCTTAGCTATTGATGGTTTAGAAATAGCTTATTACTTTTTTTTGTTTTTTTTTTTTTTTGACAGGCAGAGTTAGACAGTGAGAAAGAGAGACAGAGACAAAGGTCTTCCTAGTGAGCTGCGGCACCAGCCACAGAAATAGCTTATTACTTTTACCACTTTGATAATGCAATATATAGATACTACTTTTTCAAAAAGATTTTATTTATTTATTTGAAAGGCAGAATTACAGAGGTAGAGTCAGAGAGAGAGAGAGGAGAGAGAGAGAGGAGAGGAGGAGAGAGATCGAGATTGAGATCTTCCATTAGGCTGGTTCATTCCCCAGATGATCACAATGGTCAGAGCTGAGCTGATCCGAAGCCAGGAGCTTCTTCCAGGTCTCCCACAGGGTACAGGGGCCCAAGGACTTGGGCCATCTTCTACTGCTTTCCCAGGCCATAGCAGAGAGTTGGACTGGAAGGGGAGCAGCTGGGACTCGAACCGGCGCCAATATGGGATGCCGGCGCTGCAGGCTGGGTCTTTAACCTGCTGTGCCACAGCACCGGCCCCTATAGCTTCCATTTTCAAAGACAATTTCTAACACAATTTCAGGTAAAGATGGAAAGCTGTATCTTAATTGTTTTAAATCATTTCATACATTAAGTCTTTGATTTTGAAGGGAAATCAACATATCACCAGTTTTAACTAGGGATATATGTATCACACACACAGTCACAGAGTCATATATACATCTACCCATACCGGAAGTCCCAAGAGTTCATCAATTGAAGTCTCTGGCTCAGTAGGGTTGCTATCTGCTTGCTTAGGTACTTGAGCAATATTATTATCACTGTAAAACAGAAAGGGAAATTTTTAGCGGAGTTACGCAATTAGGCACCTTCAAATTGGTATCTTAGATATACTGCTTACCTCGTCAAAAATTTATTAATGTTTTCTGCTAACTTTTCTTGAAGAGATTTGTTGTTTAATATTTTTTCTCGTGCATTTTCAATAACCATTTGCTGTAAAACAAAGTCAGTTTTTAGCAAAAGAATAAGAAAGTTTTTTTTAAATCTGGATAATTTTGACAGACTCATGTAAAAACTCCGAAGTTGTGGCGGCTTTCTCCATATCAAAACCTAAACTTAGAAATTTTTATCTTTCACAAATTCTTTCTTCACTGCTTATAGTCATGCTCTTTACCTTACCATGTGGAGGTGTTTAAGAAGTTCATGGAAAAATTTTATTACGAAAATGTGTGGTTTTGACAAACTTTTTAAAAAACCAAAATAAATTTTTGAAATTCCATTTTTAAAATGAATTTTACATGCTTCCTCTTGACATAATCAGATTCCAGAAAAATGCCCTATTACAACATGATCCAGCAAGAACAAAACGTTTAGTTTCCTAAAAATATCAAAAGTTTCTTATCTGGTATATTTGTCACATTATCTATTCTGAACAGATTATCTCCTACAGTTATACATTCTTATTCTGTATCCCAAGGCTATTCCAATGCTCAGTCTTAAAGAAATACTGTATTTTATACATGTATTTATAGGTATGTTTTTATACATGCTAGTTTATATGTATATTTTATATACATATACACATGAAGATGTATACAATTTGAATATTTTAATTTTTGAAAAAAGATTTACTAATTTATTTGAAAGGCAAAGTGACAGAAATAAAAGGAGTAAACAGAGATCTATTATCTTCCATCCACTGGTTCACCCCCAAAATACATCCAACAGCTGGAGTTAAGCTTGGCCAAAGCCAGGGGCCAGGAGCCCCATCCAGGTCTCAAATGAATGGAAGGGACCCAAGAATAGGAGTTACCATCTGCTGCCCCCAGGTGCATTAGTAGGATGCTGGATCAGAAGCAGAAGAGCCAGGCCTTGAACTGGCATTCAATTGTGGGTTGTGGTTGTTCTAAAAGGTGGCTTAAACTACTGTGACACAACGTTCACCCTTTATGATACTGTTTTTAAATTCAGCAATATTTTAAGTTGTAAAGTTTTAGAGGGTCACTTACTTTTTCTACTGCAAATGCATTAGGATCCTGCAAATTCCGTATTGTTGAATGAGGCCCAGGAAAGTTGATACTTTTTCTTTGAGAGTCACTGAAATAAATTTTAGAAGTTTGCTTTGCAACTACCATGTCTTGAACAGATTCTACCTTAGCTATATATAAAATTTATAATCATGGTAGAAAAAATTATTTTCTCTATTGGTGATAGGAACAAAGTAGAGAAAAGTAATATGACACTTTGAGAATGAATATGACATCTAGTTTTACCATTTACTAGCTATATAGTCTAAACCAAGCAAGCGCTGCCCACCTCATACATTTTATAATGGTTTCAGACTAACTGCATTATTAGATTTTAAAGAAGACTGGAAAGAAATAAAGTATATGTAGCCTTTAAAAACTCAATCAAAATATCTACAGGTTGTCAGTTCAGAGACATCCTCCCCTCACTGCAAAAGAGAAGACACATTTTAATTCTCTCTCTTCTCTTAAATATCCTTCCAACAAAGGTACAAAGACTAAGTATAAATGAAAAGAACTTTTTTCCAAGAACACACCTGGAAAAATCTTACCAACTGAATTAGTACTTTAAATGTTTAAGTGTTTGGGGCATAAACCATGCTGGTATTATTTGTTATTTTTTAAAAAAACTTAATTTAAAAATTCTGTAAAAGATCTGTGGTAACATCAATTGTTAGCATATACATCATTATTTTATATACCATTACAAAAAACCCCCATAATCCCATGAAACAGTGTTATATCAATGATAGAAGCATGCAACCTAATTTCTTGAAGAATAAATGTATAAAAAGATGTGTTTAGGAATGGATATAACAGTAGACAATCCTCAAAACTTACTTCAGTATTAGTACTTTATTAACAATGTAAATGTCTATTATTTCTTTTTTAATGGTATTCTGCAACTTGTGCATTTTAAAAATCATTTACCTTTTACGTCTACCAGGAGACATTAAACTGGCATGAGTTTTCCTTTCCTGAGGACCAGGAACCATATTTAAAGTCTCTCCAGCTACATTTCAAGAAAATAAAACAATAAGTTGAGGAAACTGGATAGTTTTTTTTTTTAAATTAGAGACTTTTCATTTGCTGGTTTACTCCCAAATGGTTGCAATGGCCAGGGCTGGGCCAGGCCAAAGCCAGGAGCAAGAAGCTTCATCCAGGTCTCCCATGTTGGTGCAGGGGCCCAAGTACTTGAGCCATATTCAGCTGCTTTCCCAGGCCTATTAGCAGGGAGCTGGATCAGAAGTAGAGTAGCAGGGACAGGAACTGGAGCTTATATGGGATGCCAGCACCGCAGGCAGCAGTTTAACTTGCTGCGTCACAGCACCAGCCCCCTCAATAAGGTTTTCTTAACTAGGACAAGGATCATTAAATACTGATTATTATTTTGTATTACAATTCAGTTAATATTTACCAAGAACTTAATATGAAAAAGGCATTGTGTTAGACACTAAAGTACCTATGCTTTAATATTTCACAACAAAACACAAATTATAGTATAGTCAACAAAGAATAACACATCAGAATAGGAAAGGTGTAAGAAACTAATAGCAAAGTGTTCTGGGTGTAGAAAAGCATTTGGAGGAAAGATGGCAACAAGGGAGATCAATAAACAAAAACAAGACTAGCTGGGAATGGAGAGTTGGCCTCTGAATTCTAATTTCTGCTTCGTCATTCACTAGTTTTTTGCCCATTACTATCATGCATCCGGTAATTTTATGTATACAACAGCAAGATGTATCACATCATTTCTAAGTTAATTTCAATCTCTTAAGATTCAGTTGCAATATGAAGGAAAAACATTCCTCATTTCAGAACTGGGATAAATTAAGTGGTAAAATATAAGGTGTATTCCATTTAAAATAAAATACAGCAGCATCTTTTAGATTAATGCCAAACTTCAAGAATTAGAAGAGTACAAAGTTGGATATCAGTGTGAGTAGAAAGAACAAATTTTAGATTAAAATTCAGATTTTATATGCTTATTTTATAGCAACTCCACCATTATAGCTTTTCCCAATTCTATTTGTTTTTGGTGGCCATAATTTTGTATATGACTATAAGGACTTTATTATATTATCTCACTTATATAATCTGATTAACAACAAAGATTAAGAGAATGAAATTTAAATTTACCAGTTACAGTATCTTGTGACTGTGAATGGTTGACCACTACAAAATTTGACTTCAGTGGAGCTGAAATCGGGCCAGTTGGTCGAACAACCTGTGTAGGTGTCAAAGGAGAAGTGATAAATTGTCCTGGAAGATAAGGCAAAGTCAGCAACTCTGAAGTGACAGGAGCTGTTTGAGATGCAAGCCTTCTCTGTCGTTTGATTTCTGCAATTCCATTTCTTGTTCGGGCTGAAACACAGAGGTGTTTAACATTAATTCAGTGTTAAAAATAGTTTTCAGAATTTTATGACATATGATCTAAATATAACAATGGATCTACAGACTAAAAAAATCAACTGGATTTATGTAATGATTTTTTTAAAACAAATTAAAATAAATACACTCAGGTTCTAAGTCCAAAACTACGTATCTTCTGTAATAATTCTTACTAATAACTCTCCCATGAAATAAAACTACTGGCATGAGAATTTTAAGATGATACTACATGACAGCTAATAAGGACATGTAAAGAATATTTAAAATATGCATTTTTATGATATATGAAAACATTCTCTACTATAACACTAATTTAAATATATACAATACTGAACAATACCGGTTTAAATATATAGATGGCATACATGAATTAATGAAAATGTTCACCAATCTAGTGTGAAGTAATTATAAACATTGTTTTTAGTGTAAAGTTGAATACCAACCTCTCTGACTGGCAGCAAGCCCTGGGGAACTTTGCATGCTTCTACAAACAAAATAAAGCAGTTATTCATTAAAAAAAAAAATTTGTTGCTGAGACTCACTGTTTAGTTATACTCATACTTGAAGTAAATTATGAGCTAAAAAGGCAAAAGATATGTTTCAAACAAAAAGGAGAAACATTTTTTTGGGGTAAACAACCCTACCAACCTTAATGAGAAAGGCAGTGTTATGGAAACACATCCATACACATTTACACTTTTTTTTTTTTGGACAGGAGAGTTAGACAGTGAGAGAGAGAGAGACAGAGAAAAAGGTCTTCCTTCTGTTGGTTCACCCCCCAAATGGCTGTTACAGCCGGCGCGCTCCGCCGATCCAAAGCCAGGAGCCAGGTGCTTCCTCCTGGTCTCCCATGCTTGGGTGCAGGGCCCAAGGACCTGGGCCATCCTCCACTGCACTCCTGGGCCACGGTAATTAAGCTCATATCTAATGCAATATGTATTAGAATGCCTTAACATTAAATTAAGAATACAATTTCGGGGGGGGCCAGTGCTGTGGTGCAGTGGGTTAAAGCCTCTGCCCTCAGTGCTGGCATTCCATATGGGTGCTGGTTCAAGTCCTGGCTGTTCCACTTCTGATCCAGTTCCCTGCGAATGTGCCTGGGAAAGCAGCGGAGGATGGCCCAAGTCTTTGAGCCCCTATACCCCTGTGGGAGACCCGGAACAAAGTCCTGATTCCTAGCTTCAGATTGCTCAGCTCCAGTTGTTGTAGCCATCTAGGGAGTAAACTAGCGGATAGAAGACCTCTCTGTCAATACCTCTCTCTGTAACTGTCTTTCCTTACTCATAAGTTTAAGACATTGTAACCGTCTTTCAAATAAATAAATCTTAAAAAAAAATTTTGATTTGAAATTTACACATGTAAGTGAACAACATAAAGCGTAACTTTTTTTTTCCTAGATTTTTTTATTTATTTATTTGACAGGTAGAGTTTACAGTGAGAGAAAGAGACAGAAAGGTCTTCCTTTCGTTGGTTCACTCTCCAAATGGCTGCAGCTGCACTGATCCGAAGCCAGGAGCTTTTTCTGGGTGCCCACTTGGGTGCAGGGGCCCAAGTACTTGGGTCACCCTCCACTGCTATCCCAGGCCACAGCAGAGAGCTTGACTGGAAGAGGAGCAACCCGGCGCCCATAAGGGATGCTGGTGCTGCAGGCGGAGGATTAACCCAGTGCACCACAGCACTGGCCCCACAAAGTGTAACATTTTAAGTTAGCTCTTATAATTACAAAGATGCCTTCCCAGCGAAATTCTGATTTCACATATGAATCCAGACATATGTATTTCAGAATCCCAAAGCTGATGTCAAAGGAATCTTGCTTTTATCAAATTTATGGCCACGGATTTATTTTATTCTAGTCTAAGAAGGGGCAAAATGTACATGAAAATTTATAGTATATGCAAATCCCTTTACAATGAATTCACATTTACCCATTCATGCATCTGTTTGTCACAGACACAATGCTACTTTTTCAGTGAATGTGTCAAAAAGTCTGCCAACAAAACTTATGCAATTTGATTAATGTACTTTCATTTACTTAAAAATTTTAATTTTCATTTTATTTAAAAGGCAGATTGACAAAGCCAACAGAGATCCTCCACGTATGAATACAACAGCCAGGGCTGACACCAGGAGCCAAGAACTCCATCCCAGTCTCCAAGCCCCTCCTGCAGTTAGGTGAGGTAGTTACTTGTAGCTCTGAGAAAAGGGGTAAGACACTGTGGTTTTAACAATAGACACAAAAATCAAATAGAGATGTTACAAATTAATAGTAGCAGGGTCAGTATTGGCATTCCAAGGCTTTAATTTAGACAGAATTTGAATATCTATTACTGTGAGAAAATTCCAAATATAAAAGATGCTAGAAGAATTATTTTTCAAGCTTGTGTCTACAAGTGAAGAACCAATGGGCCATAGATTCAACACATCAATTCTCTGAATATACACCAAAGAGACAGATACCTAAGAGAACTGGGATTAGGAGAGCTGTTGTAGCCTTCGATCTGACTTTAAATTGCTATGGAAATTTGGAAGTGTCATTCAACTTCTATACATCTCATTTTATTAATTTGTAAACATTTTACTAAAAGTATGCAGTTTATTTCCAACTATTTCAAAGAAATGTCAATAACATCTAAATAATTTTAAAATTAGATAAATGTTCTATAAGCACACTGCACAGGTCTCAAGATTATCTGAAAGTATATATACCAAAACCATTTATACACATTCTAATTAGCTTGTTACCTGATTTGAGAAAGTGTATGGTCCAACTTCTTCCACAGAGATGACATTATTGCTGGGACATCATTTGATGTTTCTAAATCATAAAAAGGAAAAAGTTAAAGAAAATTCATATTTCAATTTGAACAATGCACAGCAAATTACTGAAAAAACTTGTCTTTCAGTGGCTGATATTATGCTGGAATTGAGAAATAAGCCTATTTGGCAAAATGGTCTGCAAAGAAATAATGTTACTTTCTTTTCTCAAGTCATTGAGTATCCAATATGAGTAGAAATGGACATCTGCAAAAACTGTGACACGTTAAAAAAAATTAATTTATTTGTAAGGAAGGGTAGGAAGGAGGGAGGAGAGGGCCAGGGAGAGAGAGAGACCTCCCATGTGGTTGTCCACTTTCCAAATGCCTGTAACACCTTGGGTTGGGCAAGGGAAAAATCAGGAGCTAGGGACTCAACACACATTTCCCACATGAGTGGCAGGGACCTAACCACCTGTGCCATGACCTGCTGCTTCCCGAGTGCCCATCAGCAGGAAACTAGATTCAGGAGTGAAGCCAGGTTTCAAATCAGGCAATCTACAATGGGACATAAGCGTGCCAAGCACCATTCTAACCACTGCACCAAATGCCCAACCCCTGAAGGTTTTTTAGACAAATAATTTTTATTTTCTTTTCGTTTATAAAAGGACAAACTTTTTTTTTAAATCTTCGTTCTACCTGGTATCATGTGACATTTAGAAGTAATTATGATAATTTCCTTTATAACAACTTTCATAAAGGTCATGCAAATTTTTTAGTGCAGAAATGTAATGCCCAGTTTCCTATTATTTAAAAATATAACTATATCTCCTATGAGGCTATTTTAAAGAATAAGGGAGATAAAAACATGAAAACACCCAACACAATGTTTACACAGCGACAGTAATGAATATATGTTAAGCCTCTTTCTTTTATGCTACATTTCATGCTAATTATTCAGTTAATGTTGTAAGCTTTGAAAATAATATTAGGGAAGATAAACAATCAGAATTTTGCCCTTAAAAAATTATTAATTTGGGCAATTATTGCTTTATATTTGGAACTACAAGCTAGATTTTTATGACTGGCTTTCTTTGTCTAGACTTCAACTATATAAAAGGTAAAATATTAGTTTCAAACTTCCTAAGATATAGTAATTCCTATTCATTAATATAGATAAATTAGTTAAAAGTTTTATTTTAGTCTTTTTAAAAGATGATTTTTTTGGCTATGCTTACTAACATGGATTTTTTTTGCATTTTATACATCACTCTAAATAGAAATGAATCACGTCTTCCAGGAAAATTAATCTAATCAAACAGAGACTAGTTTACCTAAGGGTTTCACAAAACATTACAAGAATATAATGCTATAAAGAAAAGGAACAAAAAATTCCTTAATCTGACTTCTTTCTTACCTTTTGCCTTCATAGCTACATATTCATTCAAAATTGTTGTCAAGTTTTTTCCGAATAAAGACTGAAAACAAAACAAAAAAAAAGGATGAAACATCATCAAAATCATGTACTACTACCAATGATTTCTTACCATGAAACATTCCACCACTCTGAAGTTCTTAAAAGATGTGGGTTGCACAACCACCTCTGATACAAGGGTAAAATGAAATAGTCTAGGACAGGCACTGTGGTATAGTCTAGGACTCTGCATATGGTGCTGGCATCCCATATGGGCACAAGTACAGTTCGTGTCAAGGCTGCTCCTCTTCCCATCCAGCTTTTGCTAATGGCCTGGAAAGGAAGTACAAGATGGCCCAAGTGCTTGGGCCCCTGCACCCAAGTGGGAGACTCGGATGAAGCTTTTGAGTCCTAGCTTCGCATCAGCCCAGCTCTGGCTACTGTGGTCAATTGGGAGTGAACCAACAGATGGAAGACTGCTTTATCTGTCTCTCCTCTTTCTGTCTTTAACATTGATTCTCTAATAAGTAAATCTTAATGAAAAAAATACACACTGAAGTCAGGGATTGCTCAAAGCTACTAAGGGTAAAGATTCTTACCTGTTAGAATAGGACATTATGACTATGTTTCTTTAGCTATGATAGTCCATGGACACAAAAGCAATTTTTAGCCGGCAGGTACAGATTCAGATACTATTATTTAAAAACAGTAAGGACATAGCTCTAATCTGCGCCCCCCCCCCCCCCCCAAGATTTATTTATTTGAAAGGCAGAGGCCAGGGCTGAGCCAGACCAAAGCCAGGAGCCAGGAGCTTCTTCCAGGTCTCCCACATGAGTGCAGGGGCGCAAGCACTTGAAACAGTGCACATAGGGATGCAGGTACTGCAGATGGCAGCTTTCCCTGCTACGCCACAGCACTGGCTCCTGCCTGGCTATCCTGAAAGCATTTTGAATTTCAATAATAAACAAAAAAAACCCTGAAGTGTGAAAGAGACTTCCTTGCAAAAGATCAGATTATTTCTTCTCATTTAAATCTTCTCATCAGCACATCTGTCTGTTCTATTCCCGTTACTATAACTCAAGAGTAGGATTTTATTGTTTATTACCTCAAGTCCGAAGTCATAAAATAGGGAAGAACAATAATTTTGGAGCAGAAAATTATGGTTTCAAATTCAACATTTACCACATGCAAGACAAATCACCTAAACTCTACAGCTTACTATTACATGTATAAAATGGACATATAAATTCATTAAAATTTTTATTTTCATTTTATCTGAAAGGCAGAGAGAAAGAAAGAATCTTTCATTGACTGGTTCACTCCCCAAATGCACTCAATCTGGGTCCAAGCACTTGAGCCCATTACCTGCTATCTCCCAGGTGTCCATAAGCAGAAGGTGGAATTGAAAGCCCAAACTCAAACTCAGACACTCTGATAGAGGATGGGGGTTCTCAAGTTTTTCTTTTCTTTTTTTTTTTTTTTACAGGCAGAGTTAGACAGTGAGAGAGACAGAGAGAAAGGTCTTCCTTCCATTGGTTCACCACCCAAATGACTACTACGGCCGGCGCGCTACGCCGATCTGAAGCCAGGAGCCGTACTTCCTCCCAGTCTCCCATGCAGGTGCAGGGCCCAAGCACTTGGGCCATCCTCCACTGCCTTCCCGGGTCACAGCAGAGAGCTTGAATGGAAGAGGAGCAACCGGGACAGAATCCAGCTCCCCACCGGGACTAGAAACGGGGTGCTGGCGCCACAGGTGGAGGATTAGCCAAGTGAGCCACGGTGCCGGCCTCAAGTGGTGTTTTAACTACTGTACCACCAAGCACCTGCCCCTAACTCTTAATTCACAGATTCTTATGTTTGAATGTTAAAAAAGAATACATGTAACATACTGAGGACAATGTCCCATAGGAGGCAATTAGTTCTCTTTCTCTTCCTGAATTGTCATATTAGTTCTCCAATTTTTTTTTTTTATTTAAAGACTTAGATGGTAGGTGATCTGCCTAGTATCATCTTGGAACTATTTTGCTTTATTTATGGTGCTTAATGAATTGCTGAATGACTGAAAAACTAGGTTCTTTTCTGCATATAACTCCTTCATCTTCCCCACAGCTATACAAGTTTACATGCACACCTAAGATTCCCATCACCTGAGAGAGGAGAGAAATCCCTTTCTTGTGGATTCACAAGGTGTAAGCAGGAATAAATACAGGACAAGTACCTTAATCTGAAATGCTTAGGACTAGAGTGTTTCAGGTTTCAAAGTTTTAAAGAAAAATTTTGGTATTTTAGCATAGACTTTACTAGTCTCGTGCCCTTAATCTAAAAAGCTCCAAAACCTGCGACTTTTTGAGTGACAAGATAGTGCTCAAAAAGTGTCAAACTTAAGAGCATTTCAGACTTTTGGATTATGAATGCCCAACTTCTAGTCATAGTCTTAAAATATTCTTCCCATTTCATCTTTTCCCTAATTTGCTTCTTTTCCACTATTATTTTGGGACACTGCTAAGTAGTACACTTTTACTAATAGACAGTAACAGAAGGAACACAGCAAAGTGTTCTTAGTGCTGCTTACCTGTAAAAACTTGGTGCATGCAATTTAATCTTTTCTGAATGTCAGATTTCTTATCTAAAACATGAGGCCTAAGATTCTACCCTTATCTACCCTGTAAGACTGTTTCTTTAAATTTTTTAGATAATTGTAGATTCTGTAACGAACTCCAAAGACAGTTCAGAGTATTTCCACAATATTTGGCATCCTATAACATTAACATCTTAAATAACCATTGTACTTTTATCAACACAAAGAAATAAAATTGAGAGTGGGTGTTATTATGTAGTAGGTTAAGCCACTGCTTGGGACACCCACATCCCCTATTAGAGTGCCATTTTGAGGCCTGGCTTCTCTACTTCTGATCCAGCTTCCTGTTAATGCACCTGGAAAGGCAGCAGATGATGGCCTAAGTACCTGGGTTTTGCCGCCCATTTGGGAGATCTATATGGAGCTGCTGGTTCCTGACTTTGACTTGGCCCAGCTCCATATGTTGTGAAAATTTTGGGAGTCAATCAGCTGATGGAAAAGCATTCGCTCTCTCAACTGGTCCTTTGTTTCAAAATCCAAACCACAACACCATATTACTTTGAGAAATAATGTCTCCCTCATCTATGATTTTAAATGAATTTTTCTTTAAAGATTTATTTATTTATCTGAAAGTCAGTTACACAGAGAGGAGAGGGAGATAGAGGTCTTCCATCCGCTAGCTCACTCCCTAATTGGCTACAAGGGCTGTAGCTGCTCCGATTTGAAGCCAGGAGCCAGGAGCTTCTTCTGGGTCTCCAATGTGGGTGCAGGGACCCAAGGACTTGGGCCATCTTCTACTGCTTTCCCAGGCCACAGCAGACCCTAGATCAGAAGTGGAGCAACCGGGACTCGAACTGGCATCCATATGGAATGCCAGCACTGCAGGTGGTGGCTTTACCCACTATGCCACAGAGCCGACCCTGATGAATATGTTTTTTAAAGATTTACTTAACTTAGAAGATGTATTAGTAGAGAGCTAGACTCAAATTGGTGCTCATATGGGATACTGGCAGTACAGATGGCAGCTCACCCAGCTGTGCCACAACGCTGTTCTTATAACTGAATTTTTTTTTACTTTCAATTCTAATTAATTGTAGGTAAAGAGGAGTACAAGAGTTTTGTACATTTATATCCTATGACCTTGCAAAACACTTTATAGATTCTCTTAAATTTTTTACACAATTATGTTGTCTGTGACACCCAAAATGCTTCTTAAAGAAGTCACGTTTAAAATAAAATAACATTTTGGGCCGGCGCTGTGGCTCACTTGGTTAATCCTCTACATGGTGCCGGCATCCCATGTGGGTGCCGGGTTCTAGTCCTGGTTGCCCCTCTTCCAGTCAAGCTCTCTGCTGTGGCCCAGGAGGGCAGTGGAAGATGGCCTGGGCACTTGGGCCCCTGCACCCATGTGGGAGACCTGGAGGAGGTGCCTGGCTCCTGGCTTCAGATCGGCGCAGCGCCGGCCGTGGCGGCCATTTCGGGGGTGAACCACCAGAGGGAAGACCTTTCTCTGTTTCTCTCACTGTCTAACTCTACCTGTCAAAAAATAATAAAATAACATTATGTGAACAAATGTACAATGTATATCATGGAATGTATCCATTATAAAATAGAACAAATCATCCTTTCCTGGTATAGTAATATTTACAAAAGAGGTGACAGCAAGATATCAAAATATCTGTCTTAAGAAAGAAGGCAGATAGAGGCCATGCAGAAAAAGAAATAAGCTCCAAGACAAGCAGCAGTGAAATTAAACAGAAATTAGGGTGTTAAGTTGTAATTCACTTAATAGCTATGGCATGAATGTGCAAGAACAGCTGGCCTTCTTTGGGTCTCATCAGTCATGCATGAATACAAAGTACTGATTTTCTATCAATTCTGATGTTGCTGAGTAGCTGGTTTTAAGATTTTGTTTATAGTCTCTATTGTTGGTCAGTGATAAAATATTTTCCTTAAGTCACAGATAACTCACCAGTAAGCAGGCTGGGATAAAACCTTCATCTGTACAGTGTTCTGCATATTCTTTTAAATTTGAACTTTCTAAAATAAAAGTCTGGCAGGTAGAAGTGAGATTTTCTTGTTGCAAGTAACCTAAATGGAAAATAAAAATTTAGGTACTTTCAAGGAATTCTGCAATTTTCATAAAACTGCTATAGAAAATGCTAGAGCAAATATCAGTATCTCAAGTGGAGCCTCAGGTATGACATTCTAGTATTCCGTACGCTTGCCCAGAAATGTGGTTGTGCTACAGAATACATAAAACAGGTAGCCTCTCACTGGAAACAGTTTCGCTCAACTATAAATTAAGGTGTCTGAAAAAGTGCAATTATTTCATAGAAGTGCTTATAAGAAAACCACTGAAGAAATAAAAAGAATGTCCCTTTACTCTAAAATCTTAATACTAAGTCACTTGTTGGATTACCAATAAAATACATTCTCACAATACTGTTATTTATTTGTACCTTCATTTATGTGCCTAATGATTTATGGAAAAAAAGGTAAACAGAACACCTACTGTGTAAGAAGAATCAGAAGGGGGGCTGATTCCAAGATGTCTGAATAGAGAAAAGATGTGCTGATTTTGACCAGGGGAAGATAGCAGAGGTAAAGTAGAGGAAGTTTATGCCCAAGGGAGAGTTGGAGCAAAGTCTGCAGTGGAAATCTACAGAAAGAGGGATGCCATGGAGCAGTGTGGAATGAGCAGACACACAGCAGCAAGCACACACACAGCACGTGATTCCCGCAGCCAGGGGCAGGATGACATGCCAGCTTCTGAAAGCCAGTACATGCCTCTGAGTATTCACTGAAGGAGCAGATACTCCACTAAGCCACAGAGGCACTGTTCAAAGATAAAACCCACAAGTGGAGGAAGCCAACAAGTGTTTCAACAAATACCTAAAAATAAACCAATAAACACAAGAAACAAGAACAAGGAACGCAACATGACTCCCCCAAAAAAACACAAGAACTCTTCAATATTACAATGGGAAGGCGAAGAGACTGATGTAATGCCTGAAATGGAATTGAGAAGATTAATCATAGGATGACTCAGAAGCAATGAGAAGCAAATTCACGAATTAAAGAAATCTATACATGACATGAATGAAAAATTCACAGAAAACTGAAATTTGGAAGAGAAATAAAAATGTAATACTATAAATGAAGAATTAAATGTCAAATAAAAAATATAGTGGAAAGCCTTAACAACAGACTCAATGAACCAGAGAACATTCGAACTAGAAGACAAATCTCTGGCTGGAGCTGCAGCTCAATAGGCTAATCCTCGGCCTAGCGGCGCCGGCACACCGGGTTCTAGTTCCGGTTGTCCCTCTTCCAGGCCAGCTCTCTGCTGTGGCCAGGGAGTGCAGTAGGCCCTGCACCCCATGGGAGACCAGGAAAAGCATCTGGCTCCTGCTATCGGATCAGCGCGGTGCGCCGGCCGCAGTGGGCCAGCCGCGGTGGCCATTGGAGGGTGAACCAACAGCAAAGGAAGACCTTTCTCTCTCTCACTGTCCACTCTGCCTGTAAAAAAAAAAAAAAGACAAATCTCTGGAAATTTTTCAGTCAGAAAAAAAAAAAAAAAGAAATCAGAAAACTAAAAAATAGTGCTGGAGATACATGGGATACTATCAAATGACCCAATACAAAGGTCTTAGGAGTCCCAAGAGGTATGCCAAAAGGTATGTAAAGAGAGAATGGATTAGAAGGTCTATTTAGTGAAATAACAGAAAAGTTTCCCAGTTTGAAGAAAGGGACATTTAGGGACAGGAAGAAGCATGTAGAACTCCTAATAGACATGATCAGAAAAGATTTTCAACACAACACATTGTAGCCAAACTTTCAACAGTAAAACAAAGAAATTATACTGAAATGTGCACAAGAGAAGCTTGTGCTGAAGCTCAGATTGCTTTCAGAAGATCTCCAATTACATTGACAGGGGCTGGTGCCGTGGTACACTAGGTTAATCCTCCGCCTGCGGCGCCGGCATCCCATATGGGTGCCGGGTTCTAGTCCTGGTTGCTCCTCTTCCAGTCCAGCTCTCTGCTGTGGCCCAGGAGGGCAGTGGAGGATGCCCAACTTCTTGGGCCCTGCACTTACATGGGAGACCAGGAAAAAGCACCTGGCTCTTGGATTTGGATCAGCGTAGCTCCGGCTGTTGCAGCCACTTGGGGAGTGAACCAACAGAAGGAAGACCTTTCCCTCTGTCTCTCTCTCTCTCACTGTCTGTAACGAAAGAAAAGAAAGAAAAGAAAGAAAAGAAAGAAAGAAAAGAAAGAAAGAAAAGAAAGAAAAGAAAGAAAAGAAAGAAAAGAAAAGAAAGAAAGAAAGAAAAGAAAAGACCTGTCAACCCAGAATACTGTACCTTGCAAAGCTTTATGAATGAAAGTGAAATAAAGACCTTCCATAACAAACAGGAATTGAATTTGTCAGCACTAATAAAGAAGGTGAAGGCAGAAAAAACTCCCAATAAAAGTATAAAAGAAATCCAAAGTAAACAAAGATACACACACACTGAAAGTTAAAGTATGGAAAAAGATTTACCATGCTAACGGAAAGCAAAAAAGGGCAGGTGTAGCCAGGCTAGTAACAGACAACATAGACTTTAACACAAAAACAGTTAAAAAGAGACAAAGGGCATTATGTAATGATTAAGAGATCAATTCAACAGGAAGATGTGACTATAATAAATGTATATGCACTCAATGCCAGGCACCTATTTAAAACAAGTACTAAAATAGATTTAAAGGGAGACAAAGATTCCAACACCATAGTAATGTGGAACTTCAACACTGCATTTTCATCAATGGACAGATCAACTAGACAGATAATCAACAAAGAAACAGAGCTAATGAACACTATGCGCCACATGATGTAACTGATACCTACAGTACATTTCACTCCACAGTTTAAAAATACACATTCTTTTTATCAATGCATTGAACTTTCTCTAGGATAGACCACACGCTAGGCCACAGAGCAAGTCTCAGCAAATGCAAAAAAATTCAAATTATATCATGTATCTTATCTGACCACAATGGAATGAAGCTGGAAATTAACAATTTAAAAATCTCTAGGAAGTATACAAACACATGGAGACTGAAAAACATGTCCTGAATGAATGGTGGATCATAGAGTAAGTAAAAAAATTCCTGGGGCCGGCACTGGCATAGTGAGTGAAGCTGCTGCCTGCAGTGCCGGCATCCCATATGGGCACTGGTTCAAATTCCGGCTGTTCTATTTTGGATCCCGCTCTCTGCTATGGCCTAGGAAAGCAGTAGAGGATGGCCCAAATCCTTGGGCCCCTGCACCTGTGTTGGAGGACCCAGAGGAAACTCCTGGCTTCTGGATTCATCAGCACAGCTCTGGCCATTGCAGCCATCTGGGGAATGAACTAGTGGATGGAAGACCATCCCCACACCCCACCCCGCTACTGCTTCTCAATTCCTACAAACAAATGAAGATGACAATACAACATATAAAAACTTATGGGCTATAGCAAAAGCAGTGTTATGAGGGAAGTTTATAGCAATTAGTGGCTTCATCAAGAAATTGGAAAGGCATAAAATATAGGAGCTATGAATGTATCCCAAGGGCCTAGAAAAACAAACACAAAAATTGAAGAAATAATTAAAATTACAGGAGAAATAAATAAAATTTAAAGCAAAACACAAAATATCAGTGAAACAAAATGATATATTCATTGGCCCAACTATTCAACCCCCCCCCCCAAAAAAAACAGCATACATGTGGGGAAGAAGAATATAATTACAAAAGTAGACACATTATAGTACTTAAAATATTCAATTCCTCATGAAAAAAAAATCATGAGATATGCAGAGATAAGTATGCCTTTACACCAAGAAAAGAACAAAAAATGGGTCAATAGAGAAACACTTAAAGGAAGCACAGACACTGGATGCAGAGTTTATTTTTTTATTTTTATTTTTTTTTATTTTTTGACAGGCAGAGTGGACAGTGAGAAAGAGAGACAGAGAGAAAGGTCTTCCTTTTGCTGTTGGTTCACCCTCCAATGGCCGCCACGCTGCGGCCGGTGCACTGCGCTGATCCGATGGCAGGAGCCAGGTACTTATCCTGGTCTCCCATGGGGTGCAGGGCCCAAGCACCTGGGCCATCCTCCACTGCACTTCCTGGCCACAGCAGAGAGCTGGCCTGGAAGAGGGGCAACCGGGACAGAATCCGGCGCCCCGACCAGGACTAGCATGCTGCTGTCTTTTGGATATTAGCTTGGATGGGAAATGTCCCCCAAGGACCACGTATTAAAGGAAACACTAGGTTCCAGGGTGGTGCAGACTTTGAGGAAAAATTAATAGAAGGCCCTTAGATCATTGGGGTTGCCATCTCAGAAGTTAGTTTTTAACGAGAGGGTTGTTATTAAAACCCACATTTGGGCCCAATTTCTATCTCTGCTTCCTGGCTCACTGTGCAATCCTTCCTCTTCAAGGACTTCCTTATTGCCATCTGCTGCCTTCATCAGATGCCACACCAACAGGGCCATCTGATCTTTTTACTTGAACTTCTCATGTTGTGCGCTAAATAATCCTTTTCTTTCCATATATTTAGTTGCCTCAGTAATCCAAACTGGTCTTTCAGTTCTACAAATGCTTTGATTTCAAGAGCACTATTCTATTCCTTTGGTTTGGACACTTCATTTTTTTTCTAAGCTTAGCTAACTTCAACTCATTCTTCAGGGTCTAGTACAACACTTTCTCAGAGAACTTTTCTTCGATTCCTCTATGTACCACACTGCAAGTATTCCATTTCAGTTGTCTTTGTAGTACACTTATCATCTCCATGCTGGTATAACAGCCAGTAAAGATTGGTTACCCACTAATTATTTCTAAGATCTCTTCCAACTTTAAAATTATAAAATTATATAATTATATTCTACGCTGTGTTTTTAACTCAGTCCTGCAAATCAATAAACTAATGAGATAGCCTACTCATGTGGACTTTAAACAGAAAAAGGTAAGGAAACAGTCATCTTACTTTAGTCAATGCCTTAACTGATATGTAAATCAACTGACCACTTTCTACTTGTAGCTGCTGAATCAGTTTTCCAGTCTCTTGAA